AAGGACACGGCCCTGCCCTCCACAGTGAGAAACCAGGCCTGGCAAGTGTTGGTGTGAAATCCCAGAATCTGCGTGAACACACACCGCCCCTGCAGCAGGCATCAGGACAGACAGGGAGCTGACCGGTTCCCCATCGACCACTGTGGGAAAGAACGTGGTCAGCTTGGATGGTTCCCACAGTCCAGGTGAGCAGACGGAGTGGCCTCTGGGGCTGGAGGGCACCTCACAAAACCACAGGCCCTGAAGCTGCGTGCAGCAAATCACGGCTCGATGGAGCCAGGACTGTAGACCCTAGAGATAAACCGCACATTCTCAGACACGGAGGAATGGTTTTCACTCAGCGTTTTAAGGGTTTTTGAATTATTATTTCTTTTTTCCTTTATTTTTGGGGGGTTCTTCCTCTTTTTCCCTCTTTTTGCTTTTCTCCTTTTAATTTTTTCATCTTTCTTATTTTCTGTATTCAGTTGTTTTTTTCTTCTTTTTCTTGTTTGTTTTCTGTGGCTGTTTTCTAACAGCATTAATTTCCTTTTACTCCTCAATGGGGTCCCCTACCATACTTTTCTCTCCTCCTTTTCATCTTCCATTGATTAGTTTTTAAATTTTACTTTTTTTCATTCCCTGATTCCCTACACCCTCTGCCTTTACTAGTATAACTATTAAATCCTGTGAGTCTTCAGAAAACCAGTCAACTATATGCTATTGCTGTTAAATACTGTTCTATTGTTTTTGGCAGGGGTAGTGGGACTCCAACTCAGGACCTCACGCTTGCTAGACAGGCACTGTGTCCCTGAGCCATATCTTCAGCCCCTGTTCTGTTGTTAGTGGAGGTAAAGGTGTTCCATTTAGTAGATTTACTGTAGGTCAATAGTTGGTTTGCCTTAGTGTTTATACCATAATTTATAGGCCTATTTTCAATGGCTAGTGTGGTATATGACAGGTTCATAGGTTATGTCAATATCCTGTTTGTCTTTGATGCTATTATTACTGCTAATTTTATTGCTATATCCAAGGTCACATAGTTATTGCTATTAATTGGTTTTCACTGGATGCCAATACCTGTATTGTCTTTGTATCAGCAACACTACTGTAGCCCATTTTCAGAGAACTGGTTATCAAACCAAATATTCTGCACCCTCCCTTCCCAAATAAGTGGAAGTGGTTGGTTGCTGGGTCAGAGGCAAAAGTGAAGAGTTATCCCTGCCCACAGGCACTGCTGCAAAACAGACATTAACTAAAGAAGGCTGCCTACTAGAAACAAAGGTTTCCACCGGGCTCAGCCTACAACCCTCAACACGAGAAACAAAAACAGAAATGTGAGAAGATACACAAAATTGCCTCCAAAAACTTCCAATTCCCCCAAAACTGATCCATGAAATATTAGAGGAGCAGGAAATAAAAAATTGCTGTCAAATTATTTGAAAGGAAGAAGCCAGGCATGGTGGTGCAAGCCAGTAATCCCAGCGCTCCAGAGGCTGAGGCAGGAAGATCATTGTGAGTTTGAGACCAGCCTGGGTTACAAAGTGAGCTCAAAGCCAGCCTGAGCTGCATAGTGAGACCCTGTCTCAAAAAAAGAAAAAAAATTAAGTGAAAATACAATGTAGAAGATAAAGAAAAGATCAGTAAGCTTCTTGCCAAGCTCAAAGAAGATGTAACCAGATAACAGACCCCATAAACACAGAGGTCAGGAAGTCTACTGGAGACATAAAAGAAAAACTAGCTGAACTAAACAAAATGGAACAAAGCATGAGTGAAAACCGTAGAAAAGAATCAGAGTCCACAAAAGGATATCACACAGAAATTCAGGAGATTAAAAATTCTATCAAAAAATATGGGTGGCGGTAGTGACCAAAATAAGACCACAGAGTGTCAAAAGATAGGGCTTGTGCTGATGACCAGTTGGTGAGAGAGACCTTAAAAACAACAGCAGCAGCATGTGGAAAATGGATCCCACACAGCTGCTAGATGGTGAAAAGAAGAATAATCTTAGTTAGACTGCAAATGAGAAGACAACACAAAGAACAACAACGACGAAAAACTCCTTTACTGAAATAATAGCAGCAAAGTTTCCAAATATTGGGAAAGAATTTAACATAGAAGTAAGGCACGGAGCATTCCAACCAGCCATAGTCAGAAAACGTCAGTCAAAATCATACAAGTCCAACACAAAAACAGGATCTTAAAAGCTGTGAGAGAAAATCAATGAACCAATAATAAAGGTGAGCCCATTAGAATTACAGCAGACTGCTCAACAGGCCTTAAAGCCAGGAGAGCTTGGGGTGAAGTGTTTCAAGCAAGCAAACAAAAAACACTTCCAACACAGACTGATATATTCTGAAAAACTGTATTTCAGAATCGATGGAGAGCTACGCTATCTCTGTGATAGAGAGCACCTAAAGAAACTCGTGACCACGAAAGCAGAACTCCAAAAAATTCTCTAGGATATCCTACAGGAGCTCAAGCTAACCATGACAAGAGCTCTAATAGAACTAATATTCCAGGGAGGGTGAGCAGTTAAATGAAAGAAAGGAAAGAAAGAAAGAAAGAAAGAAAGAAAGAAAGAAAGAAAGAAAGAAAGAAAGAAAGAAAGAAAGAAAGAAAGAGAGAAAGAAAGAAAATCAGCAACAGATCAAGTAGACTTCATCCCAGGGATGCAAGGATGGTTCCGTGTACTTGCAAATCAATAAATGTAAACATCACATTAACAGAAGTGAGGACAAAAATCACATGATCATCCCAAGAGATGAAGAAAAAAGTCTTGAACAAACTCCAATATCCTTTCATGATTAAAACAAAACAAACAAAGTCACTGAAGATGCCAGGCTTGGGAGGCTGAGGCAGAGGGATCACTGTGAGTTCAAGGCCAGCCTGGACTACATAGCAAGAGCTAAAAGACAAAAACAAAATCAAAACAACAGATATCCCCTGACAGGCAGAACTAAAATAGTCTAAATTATCAATACTTCCACAATTGATATACAGACTTAACATAATCTCAGTCAAAATACAAACAGCATTCTTCACAGAACTAGGGAAAATAATCCTAAAATTCATCTAGGAATGGTGCTGCATGCTGGTAATCTCAGCATTTGGGAGGCTGAGGCAGGAGAATCATCACAAGTTTGAAACCAGTTGGGGCTACATCGTAAGCGTAAGGCCTGCCTGAAATTCATAGTGATATCTTGTCTCAAAAAAAATCCTAAAATTCATATAGAGCCAAAAAAGACAGAATAGCAAAAGCAATCTTGGTAACAAGAGCAAAGCAGGTTTCCTAATCCCAGATTTGAAGTTATATTACAAAACTACAATGATAAAAACTGAATTGTATTGGAACAAAAACAGATATGTGAGTCATAGAAAGAAAGAAAGAATGCAAACACAACCCTGAGCACGTCCAGATATATGATCATTAACAAAGAGATACACTAGAAGAAAGACAGCCTCTAATAAATGATGCTGAGAAAACTAGTTATCCACATGCAGAAGATGGACTTTGGAGCCGTATCTCTCACCACATACTAAGCTAAAATCAAAATGGGTTAAAGATCTAAATGTTAAAACAGAAACACTTACTATGCTAGAAAACAAAACGTGTAAACCTCTTGAAGTCATAGGTGTAGGCGGGACTTTCCCAATCTTGGTCGCACAGAAAATAATATGGAGAATCAACAAACAGGATCATATCAAATTTAAAACTTCTGCACAACACAATAGAAATAACCAACAGAGTAAAGAGACAGGCTACAGATGGAAAAACTTCTTCCAGCGATTCCTCAAAGGACTACTACGAAAACTATAGAAAGAACACAAAATATTAGACCCCCTCCAAAATAAAAAGCCCAATCAAAAATGGGCAAATGAAATGAACACAGACTTCTCAGAAGAACAGAGGACCAATAAATAAGTGGAGAAATGTCCAACATTGCCAGCCATTCTAGAAATGCAAATTAAAACAACACTGAGATTCCATCTAACCCCAGAGAGAATGGCCGCCATCCAGAAACCAAATTCTAACAAATGCTGGTGAGGCCGCAGGGGGAAGGGGCCCTTCCACACTGCTGGTAAGAAGGTAAACTAGTCAGCCACTATGGGGATCAGTGTGAGTTCCCCAAAACCAAAACTAGAAATTCCACTTGACCCAGCCATTCTCCTTTTAGGTTTCTTCCCAAAAGAGTTAAAGTCATCGTGTTACAGTGACACATGAAGCAGAGAGAGATTCCTCAAATGGGAAGAGGGCCAAGAGATGCAGGGAGCAGTAGGTATCGTGAAGAAGCATCAGGCACGGGGTGTCCATGCATGAAGGCCACAGGGCAGGACAGTCGCTGTGCACTGCAAACGCGTGCTCATAGAAACAAAAACAAAAGACTGGGGATAGAGGTTCGCAGCACAGCACCTGCCCAGCAAGCTCGAGGTCGTGGGTTCAATGCCCCGTGCCAAACAAAGTAAAATAAAATAAAAAGAAGAGATAAGTAAATGAAAACAAAAAGTAGTTACAACAGTATAATGTGTTATGTACATTGTAGACACAATTAAGAAAATTGGGGAAAATTCTACAAAAAAACCCATAAGGATAGATTGTCTACTACTCAGAGTCAGTGAAAGGAAAAGGACCAACAGCAACCCCTGCGGAGGACGTGGAGCGATTAGACCCTCCCCAGCAGTGCTGCAGAGACTGGTAGATTCCTTCTGGAAAACGGCCAGTATCCACTAAAGCCAAATATTTGCTGATCTTATGATCTAGCAATTTCACATCTGGGCAGTTACCCAAAAGAAATAAGCATGTGTATCCCCCAAAACTTATCTATGAATATAAATATTGACTTTATTCATAATTTCCCCAAACTGGAAACACTCCAAATGTCCATCAGCAGGAAAAAAATAAACAAACTATCATCCCTCTGTAGAAGAGAATACTATTCAGCCATGAAAAGGACAATCTAATACCGAACAGAGGGATGACTCTCCTGGACACCATATTGAGCCAAAGAAGCCAGACACAGAAAACAGTTTCATTTATTTATTCATTCACTCATTTTTTAATGTTTCAGGCTTGAGCCTCCCATATGCCCTCTACCCCGTCCTGTTTACTTTCACATGTAGCTTCTACAACAGGCAAAACTAACCTATGGTAGGAGGCGTCAGGACGTCACTCTCTTGCGGGGTATTCTTGAGGAGGAGGACAACAGCTTCCGGGAGGAGGGCAGTGTCCTATTCCTGGCTCTCTGCAGTGGTCACATACGCAGTCACTGAGTGGTGACCAGGGCTGTGCACCTCCCTGTCAGACCTGAGCACAGGGCAGGGGCCCCTGCATGTAGGGTGGAGAAGGCCCCTGGGGCCCAGCCAGCAGTGACTGTGCAGAAACCGGCGCTTTCATCCCCCAAATGCCCCCACCTGAGACCAGGCTGCCCAGCCTGAGTGCCAGGAGTGGACCCTGCGAGGGCCTCAGGTGACAGGGCCCCGGGGGAACATCCCCTCCCCTGGTGCAGACCACAGAGAGCTTCCAGACCCAGAGAGGAAGAAGCCTCTCATGGCGCCTGGGGCGGATGCAGGCAGAAGCAGCCTGCAGCTCGGATGACAGGTGACACTGCATCCTTCCCGGTCCTAGGGGAACATGGCATGTAGAGACTGGGCTGCAAAGTGAGTGTAAGGCCAGGCTGAGCTGCACAGGGGAACAAGATACATGCCTCTCCCAAAAAAAAACAACAAAGAAGAAAGGAGGGTGGAAGAGGGTACAGGGTGGGGTAAGGCATTTCCGCCCTGCCTCACAAGAGATGGGGGAAGCTCGTCAGGTGCTCGGCACAGCTCATCCCAGGATACGGTAGGTGGGGGCAGCAGGAGGACAGTAGGTGCTGAGGTGTCCATCAAAGCTGGGGACACCATACCCAGGACATCGGGGCTCCGGCCTGACTGAGAAGGCCCCCGGCATTGAGGCAGTGAGTCACTTCCTCTGAGTGACTAGAAAGGCCCGGCACAGAGGTAGCCAGGCCGGTGGAGGCTGGACAGGGCAGGCCAGGCCTGGGTCTGAGTCCCCTGCTGTCCTGGTGGTCTCAGATCCTGGTCAGCACCCAGGCCTGGTCTGAAGAGGGGTGGTGGTCACTCATGAGACCCCACCTCCAACAGCCTCCCGTGGGACTGAGAGCCAGGGAGCAGCCGGCCTCCTGCACCCGGTGGACTATCACCAAGGTTGCAGGGCTCAGAGGAGAGAGGCAGGGCCTGGAGCCTGAGGTCCCCACCCTGCCTGCTGTCCCTTCCCCCGGCCTGCAAGAGGCTTCTGTCCATGAGTCTCAGCTGTTAAAAATAACTGGCCTCTTCATCATCCCAACAGCCGCCTGCTAGGACAGCCTGTTCCAAGGCCCGGCTGCTCTCTGGGGACCAGGCAATGGAGCAAGAGGGGCCACGGATGCTCCTGACAGAGCTGGGCCGAGACAGCATGACCACACCCAGTACAGGTCTCCTGGCCACACCTTAGTCCTCCTGTCCCCAGGATGGGGTTCCTGGGGGTCACGTGTCATCCTAGGACCCATGAGTCTCTCCTTGTGACCTGGATTTCAACAAGGAAGAAAGCTCTGTGCCTGCCTGGTGCCACGGGTCTTCCTCTTCTGGTCCCCAAAACCTTACCTGGGCAGGACCACAGGAGCCTTTCAGGGGACCAGGAAGGAGAAGGAGAGACAGGGCGTACACGTGCAGCCCCCTGTCTGCTGTCATCTCTTCCACATGGGAAAGGAAAAATGTGGCCTCGGCACTCAGAGTTCAAAGATCTGGGTTCAAATTCCTGTACAGAAGAAAATTGCTTAACCTCTCTGGGCCCTGACTTCCTTGTTGATAAAATAGCTGCTTGGAGTTAAATTTACAGGGTCGCCCATGCAGGCAAATGAGCTGCAAATGTTCCTAAACACAGCATCTGACACAGAATGCTCAATAAATAGTATTCTTATTATATTTACTCTTCTTAATATTCTTTTAGCACCATGGTTATGAGCATTGGTGAAGGCAAGGAATTTCCAGTCCTGCTCCCTCTGTTGGTCAGCTGTGTGGCCTTGAGCAAGTTGCTTGACCTCCCCCAATCCCTGATTTCCTGGCCTGGGAGATGGACCAGTGCTGCTTACCTCCTGCAGCTGTGGCCAGGCTCCCTGGTGGGCACCCTGAGGGCCCTGGCACATGAGAATTAGAACCGAGCCCAGGTGGGGGGTTGCGGAGCCATTGATGCCTCCTTGGTCACACACACACCACAGACCCCCATGGATCACATGCAGTCCCCACTCCTGCTATCCAACTGTGCCGTGGGTTGGGGAAGAAAGAGAAAAAGTGAGACAGAAGGAGACTGGGGAAACCGAGAGAGAGGCGGCCCGGACACAGGGAGAAGGAAGGAGAGACCAAGGATGCAGAGCGAGCCAGAGAAGATGGAAGAAATAGAACATTCCTAGGAGAAGGAAACAGGAGTGACTTCTGTGAAAGCATGGGACTGTGGAAGCAGGTAGGAAGCCAGCTGGGGATCCAGGCAGGAGTGTCAGGGACAGCAACAGGTCCCCAGGACTGGAGACAGCCTGCTCCCCACACAAACAGGGCTCCTCTCGGAGGATGGGTAACAGGTCGTCATGGCAACAGATGCAGAGTCAGGGTAATTGATGGTGAGGAGCAGGGAAGAGGGAGCCCTGATCGTGGCTGCAGCCTGGGGAAGGGTCCCGGAGGAGGTGCCAGGCCCAGCCTCAGCCTGGCCAGGATGTTACAGCCCAAGTGTCCACTCGCGGGCTGACCCTTTGGACCACGAATGCGTCCACAGACTCTGGCCCTCTGCCCATCCTGCCTAGTGCTGACGGCAAACTCACGGTCCCTGTGACGAGTCTTGCGGCTTAGCGCCCCCCCACCCCGTGACCCCCTGAGTGACACACAGCAGCAACCTCTTTTGAAAGAGGAGTCAGAAGTTAAGTGACCTCTCTGGTCATACAGCCAAACCAGCCAGGCTCTGAAGGTGGCTCTGTGGTTCCCTGGGTCCAGGCTGCTCCTGAGACAGGACACGCCCTGTCGCCCTCCTGTACCTGCCAGGAAGGGCCAGCATGGGTGGGTAAGAAGAAAAGGGAGACGGAAAATGTTCTAGCACCCCGTCTCTGCAGACATTTCCTCCCTCAAGATTATTATTCCCCCGCAAGTCCCTGGCTATGCTTGGGACTTGGGGAACCTGGATGCAGGGAATCGGGCAGCTTGTCTGCAGCATAAACATGGGGCCTGGGCTCTTTTGTCGGGGTCTCCTGGGGCTGGGGACCTCAGAAGTCCAAGCTCCTGCAGCCTGGAGGAGCCCCAGCCCCGGGCCTGTGGTGACCACAGATGTCCTTTCTGCCCCTAGCCTGTGGGCCATCGACCTCACCCTGCACGGCTCCTGGAGGGACCCCAGCCACGGGGCAGCCAGGCAGGCGGTGGGGGACATCCCGGCTCCAGAGAGCACGAGGGCAGGGAGGAGTGGCCGGCTGGACAGGGCAGGGTGGGGACAGCCAGGGCCTGCTTGGCCATGTTTGTTAATGAGTCTGGCTCTGGGAGACTGGGGTGCTGGCCTTTCACAAGCCAAAGGCTCCAAGCGCTGCCTGGCTGGCCTCAGGGTGACACCCTCAGCCACATTCCAGGGAGCTTCTTCAAGGGAGGCCCCAGACCTGCAGCTCCCTGAATAACCCCAGGACCTGGAGAGGCCAGCTGGGCGGGGAGAAGAGTGTCGGAGCTTGGGTGGTACGAAGAGCTGTAGTTTGTGAGGCAGGACTGTTAGCGTTCTAGAACATTCCCCAGCAAAAGATTATAAACAGGGGCTGGGGATTTAGCTCAGCGGCATAAGTGCCTGCCTTGCAAGCAGGCAGTCGTGAGTTCGATCCCTGGTACTGATAAAAATGAAAAAGACAAAAAAAAAAAAGTAAAAAAAAAAAAAGATTATAAACAGGATGAGGGGGCTGGGGATGTAGCTCAGTGGTAGAGCACTTGCCTACCATGCGTGAGGCCCTGGCTTCAACCCCAGCACTGCAACAAAACACATTTCTGCCAGGCACGTGGCACATGCTTGTCATCTCAGCACTCAGGAGGCTGAGGCGGGAGGATCACTGGAAATTCAAAGACTACAGGATAAGACCCAGTCAACAAACAAGAAAACCAAAGCAAAGCAGGAAAAGAAGAGGAGAAACAGAAGTCAGGGCTTGTACATGCAGGGTGGTCACAGGCTGCTCCCTGCCCCTACTCACAAGCTGCCACCAGCCCTGGCCTCCCTCGTGTATCCCCTGGACACCACCTGTCTTGTATCTGTGGGGGCGTGGAAGGCCTGGCCCACCCCAGGGTGCTCATGCATGAGCTGTCCCAGGCTGGCTGCCATCAGAGTCACGGGTCATAGGGCGTCCCAGGGAACAGAGCAGCTCTGGTGGTTTTGCCAAGGCCCCAGGGCAGCCAGTGGGCCATGACAACCAGAACTGAGAGATGACAGGAAGGAGGGTGGAGGGGCAAGGAGACATGGGTCAGAGGTGGATTTGCTGGGCCCGGGGAGCTGGTAACCCAGGGCAGAGAGAGCAGCAGGCATTTTTATGGGGGCCCTAGGCAGGGTCAGGAGAGGAGAGGCCATGTCCCATCGTCCGCCATGCTCTGCTTTGGAACCAGGGCCAGCTCCTCACCCATCCACCTGGCAAGGGACTCAGAGGCAGAGTGGGTCACCTGTTTAGCCTGGGCAGGCAGGAAGCCTGGAGAATCTGGGCTGAGGCCCTGGGTCGTGGGCTATGCTGGTGTGTGAGACCCTGGCTCTGGTGGGCTCCAGCTGTGGACCTGGGACCTGGTCCTGCTTCAGCAGCAACAGAAGGGCCTCAAATGACGTCAGATTCAGCAGATATTTTTGTCCTCCAAAGGGGTCTTTAAAGCCTGGTTCTTGTCACCTTAACACACAGAGTTTCCATCTCCTGCTCCCCAGTGACCAGATTTTAAGGAGACCCCTGAACTGGGCCTGGAGGGAGGCCCTGAGGATGCTGCCCACCCAGGAGGCCAAGTGCTTCCGCCAGACCCAGGGAGCAGCAGCCAGAGAGCAGAAGTACACAAACAAGCCTGCTGGCCGCCTTCAGCCTGGAGCAGTGGCTCTGTCCCCTCCCCTCCCCCTGCATCTGCGGCAGGCAGGCGCTCCCAGCACACAGCTTCTTCCTTGCTTCCTGGAGAGGAGAGATCCTGACATCCCAGCTTATTTTTAGTCAGCCGCCTCTGGTAGCTGGGCTGTGGGTGCTGGGCCTCATTCCACACTGTCCCCTTCCCCAAGGGACAACCTGGGGCCTGGAGTCCACTTGGAACTCAGCAAGCCCCAGACGGCAAGTCCCCCATCCCCAGGCCTTCTTTCTTCCCCCAGGTGCATCCACTAGGGCCTCTCTGTAACCGAGGAGCGGTGGCCTCTCCCCTACCTGCCGCTCCCCTCATCGCCAGGGCGGCAGGTGCTGTGGCTTCTCTTCTGTGCACTGAAGATGGGGCAGGAAGGACCCAGGGGTCCTGGGAGGGTCCACACAAGGCCTTTCGCATGGCTTCTTGTGGACCAGCCCCCTAGCTGTGGCTGCAGCCAGCAGGGCACCTATTCCAGGGTCCCAGGAGGCCCTGCTCCCCCAGCCTCACTCAGCTGCTCACCCTCCTTGCAGAATGGCTCAGCACACGTGCGCCATCTGTCCCTGCTTGAGTCTGTCCTGGAGGCCCCAACTCTTCCCTCCTAGGAGAAACGCTCATAAATATGGTTTTCTCCACCTTGTCACACTTCCAGGGATATTTTGGCACCTCTGGGACTCACATACCACTCTGGGAACCCAGGGAGTGGTGGCATCTGTCTGGGAACAGCCCAAGAGCAATCAGGGACCTTTCAACACGGTACAGGACACTCTGGAAGCATCCTCGCCTTCCACACTCCTGAGATAGTGGGCTCCCGAGTTGTCCCTCCTTCCTGCCCACTCTGGCCAAGTCCAGGGTGCCAGCCCCAGAAGCCCCCAGTCCTGCGCCAATGGGCTGACCACTCCAATCTCTGAGCAGCTCCTTCCAGACACTGTGTTCTCAAGGTTCCCAGGCACTCCTTAGGGACTCCCTACCCCGGTGGCTTTGCTCACACAGGATGAGCAGCTGTTTCCCCTACACCTGCCGAGGACAGGGCTGGGATTCTCCAGACTTTTCACATCGGTAATCATTTACCAAAGCCTGCCTGGGGCTCCCTGAGTCCCTGTCTGTGTTCCTGGACTTCTGGGATCTCTTGCTGATGTCTGTCATGGGCACAGCATTAAGAGTATAGGCACAGATGTGGTGTATTTGACATAGTCGCCTGAGAACTTCCTCATCCCAGCTGGACACTGAGAGAAACTGCTGGAGCTCTCTGTGGCAGAGACTTGGGAGCCCACAGAAGCATGAGGTGAGGGAGAGGGAGGGAAGGTATAGCAGCATGGGTGCAGGACACAGCTAACTTCAGGGTACAGAGTCCACCCTCCTTCCCAGGTGTCCCCGAGCCATGGGTCAAGGAACCCAGGGCATGAGGTTCTACCAGCTCATCTTGGAGAGGACCTGAATGGCAGAGTACCACGGTGGCTACATCGTAATCTATATCCTGACACTGTAAGGAATCTTACCTCTCCACACCTCTCCAAGTTTAAAGCAACCAACGTTATCCCTTTGTAAAGGCAAGGAAATTGAGGCTCAGAGAGGTTCAGCAGTTTGCCTCAGGCCACACAGCGAGTAAGCAACAGAGCCAGGTCTGACTCCAGAGCCAGGGTTCTGCCCTCTCCATCCCTCATCCTTCCTTCCAGCCCCATTTACATCTCCACACTCCGGGAACAGTCCCTGCCACCACCCCTGCGGTGCCCTGGTGGCTTCACCTACCTCTGTGGGAACAGTCCCCCTACTTCTAGCTCAGCCAAAAGCAGAACAGACTCTCCCAGCAGAATTTCCCCGGGAAACTATAGAGAAAACAAAACAAAACAGAAAATGAAAACCCTGAATCGGAGATGTCCCCAGAGCCCAGGGTCACCAGCCTCAGATGACAAGTGCCAAGATGGTCCTAGTTTGCTGGAAAACTCATGGGTCCAGGACTATGGCCTGGGCACCTGCTGTGTGCCAGGCCCTGCCATGGGGGAGAGGTGACCGAGCCCCTGCTCTTGGGTCGTCCTCACAGCAGAGGCCCTGCTGGGTTCCCTCCGGCACCAGGCTGCAGGGTGCTGGTCTACTGTTTGAAGTGACATCTTCCTCCGTGTCACCCCAAGCTGTGACTCTGTGGAAACCACAGTTTGCCTAGAGGCCAAAGCCCCTGTGTGCCAACCTAGATGGTCTCTCCCTCCTTCCCAGTCACACTTCGGATACAATGTGGAGCCCAGGCAGGTGCCATACCCCCACCCTCGTTCTACCAGCCCTGGCGAGGTGATGGGGCAGGTAGGTGTCACTGAGTCTGGTGTGGGATGGGGTACAGTCTGGGTGGGTGCAGGCAGGAGGGCAGAGGCCTGATGGGCCAGGAGGGTGCGCCGCTCCCAGAAAAACCAAAGAGCAGAAAATGACAGGAAGTGCGGGGCCAGAGACCTCAGTTTCCCCTCCTCTCTCAGCCTGCCTGGTGGTCCAGGACATCAGGCACACCTGTTCCGGTCCCATTCCTTCATCAGCAAGAAAGCTGAAGCCCAGAGAGGGAAAGGAATTGGTTCCAGGTCACCCAGCAGTTTGAGGGCCCTGCTAGAATCCCAGCCCTCCTGAAAGCTGAGGAATCCTCCTCCCCAAGCTGCAGGCTGGGTACTCCTTGTCTCCGGGGGTCAGGCCAGCTGAGAAGGAGGGCCACAGTCTGCTCAGCACAGCTGCCTCCAGGAGGCACCTGAGAAGACAGTGCAGAGACTCAGTGGCTCCTCCTCACCTCCGGCCCTAGGAGGTTAACCCTTGCCTCCCCTCCCCCTCAGCGCCCAGGGAATCCAAGCTGCAGGCCAGGCCTGCTGCCTCTCACGCTCCCTCCCTCACAGCTGCAGCTGGGCAGGGTGGGAAAGGGACTCAGGGACACCTGGGTCCCCGTCCACCATGACCCAGTCCTTTCTCTCTTGAAGTGGCCCGGGTCCCCATGGGAACCAGGAAATGACCAGAGATCATTCCATGGGAGCCCGGGCTGCCTGCGATTGGAGACTTCCCAGACTCAGGGCCCATTCCCCCACATGGGGGGGGAGTCGGGACCCTCATACCTGGTGTGGCCAGCGCCTCCCCAACTGCCCAGCCTGAGAGCCAGGGGCCCCAGTGGCCCCAGCAGGGACAGAAATAGCCCGGACTTCTCAGCTCCTTTTTGATCTCCATTCTATTCCAGTCCCCTCTAAACTACCCCTGACCCATGGAGCCTGCAGGGCCCAGGAAGAGCCAAGATGGTGTCCCCCACCCCCAGGGTGGGACCGAAGCCAGAGGGTCCACAGGCTTCAAGGAGGGGGAGCGGCCACCCAGGCCCCGGAAGTGGGAAGGGCCAGGAAAAGAGATGGAGAGGAGAGGAGCTGGAGCCCCAAGGGACACAGGGCCTCCCGCTTTAGAATCACTGGTAATCAATAGACACCACAAGGCCAAGCCAAGGGCAGAGGCTTTGGCCCCGGGCCAGCCCGGGTGTGAGGAGATCAGAGCCCACAAACAGGGAGGGTGCAACCCGGACATCCAGGCCCCGGCCCAGGCCGCCTCCTGACCACAGCCTTCCCGTGCTGCGGCCGGAAGACAAGACGGATGCAGAGCGAAGAATCCCAGGATCTAATTTTAGACGGTGGCGCCTGCCCCCCTGCTGAGGGTGAGCGGTGCCAAGAGGGTGACAGCTCCACTCCCCACACTGCGCCTGGGCTCTGTTCTAATGGTGCCCGCAGGCAGGGCCCACCCCAGAGCCACTCGGGGACCCTGCTGGGAAGATCCTGCGGCTGGCACAAAAGGTGAGCTGTGCAGGGCTGTCCAGGAGGCTGAAACCAGGACCAGTGAGGGATGGACGCTGAGATTGGAAAGGGCGGGCTCCTGTCCGGACTCCGGATGACCTCAGCAAGTCTACTCTCTGCCTCAGTGTCCCTTCTGTAAAGCACTGGTGATAATGGCCCCATCTCAGGTGAGGCCCTAAGAGCTCAGCACTAACCTAATTCTCATCACCGCACAACAGCACCTCAGGAGACGAGTGGGTCTGGCACTCCACACTTGATGCCCCGTCCAGTACTGAGGGACAAAGGTGAAAAAAACACAGCCCCATCCTGCCATGAGCTCAGCCTGGAATGCATGATTAATGCCAGGAGCCCTGTGTCCAGACCTCCCAGGGAGCCCCATGATGGAGGCGGGGAGGCAAAGACACAAGGCCCAGAGAGGAACCTTGCCTTGCCCAGGGCGGCCCATGAAACGTGGCAGGGCAGGACATAAGCCCAGGGCTCCTTCTCCTCCCTGGGACTTTCATCAGTGGACATACAGCCTCCTGGTCCTGTGAACAGAATGCCCAGCACAGCAGGGAAGCCAAAGATTGCTGGTACCAACCCAGCAGGGCGGATTCCTCCTCTCAGACTCAGCAAGCCCACGGGGTGGGTCCCACATGCTCTTCCCAGCACCCCACCACCATGGTATTCGCTACAGGATATGGGAGGACAAAGGCCTGATTAACTCCCAAGCCGCCTATCTCTGGCTCTGAAGCCAATAGAATCTTTGTGTTTTGTTTTGCTTTGTTTTGTGAGGCAATCTTGCTGTGTAGTGCACAGGCTGACCTTGAACTCGCAGCAATTCTCCTGCCTCAGCCTCCCAGAGTGCACCATGCACGCCAGAGTGCACCATGCACGCTGCGCCCAGTCAGAAGCTTCTGAAGGGATAATCAGGAGTGTTGTCAGCACAATGCTCCACAGAATTCTCACTGGTCCAAATTTCTCAGCAGCTGTCCTGAGGTAGGGGTGGTGCTGAAGGCCCCCCAAGATGTTCCCAGCAAACAAAGGCCCCAGTTGCCCCAGAGCAGTGGCAGCAGGCAGGGTCACCCACTTCCACCTCTTTAACTGCCTTCTGGGTTGGGGCCGCCCTGCAGCCAGGGGCGTCACAAGAACAGGGTCTCCCAGAGAGGCTGCACACTTCCACCTGGCAGCTGCCAGCCCCTGCTCACTTCTGTCCTCTGCCCCTCAGCGTCCTCACCTGAGAAATGAAACAGTTAGAGAAGGAAAGGCAAGCCTAATGGGACCAGGTGTGGCTCAGTGTAGAGCGCTTGCCTAGCACTTAGGCCTGGGTACGGTCCCCAGCCCTGGAGGAAGGAAGATGACAAACCTACGCCATGTCTGGCACCCAGCAGGTGGCAGCAGATGTGTCTTAGACTTGGCCCTGTTCCCCCTTGGTCTGAAGGCAGAGCAAATGCCCTCTAAGAAGGTGCCAGATATTCTGCTGCTGGGTATCTGTGTGAGGCCACATGAAACAATACATCCACTGCCTCTGGGGCCCAGTATTTTCCTCAATAAAATTCAGGAATGGGAAGCCTGAGCACACACTCCCTCACTTACATATTCTTTAGCAGTGACAGGCATGAGCAATCAACCACAGCACAGCTGCCTACTGAATCCACCCAAATAGAGTCTTGGAACTCCCAGATGGAAAGCATCTTGAATGAGAGTTAATTCAGACAGTAAGCCATATTTCTCTGGCACCTACATTGTAGTTTTATAGTCTCTGAACCCAACTGGGTGATCTTGATTGTTTCCTCTTTTGTAAAATCCAAGGATACAATAATTAAATGAGATAATATTCAAAGTGGGCTTTCAAATACTCTCTTTTTTTGTTAGCAAACCCCATGTCTACCCCGTGGTAGTGGGCATATTGGGGTCTCAGCTGGTTGTCCCTAACAGAAATTTGGACCCAGGAAACATGAAGATAGTAAAAACATAGGTTCTGGGCCAATGTGGGGGAATAGCAGGGTGGCTCTGCACCCCAGACTATATGCCACCTGCTCCCTGAGACCCAACCCAAAAGGCACCAGGTACTGGGCTTCTCTGGCCTCCTTCACCAGCACTGGCTTGGGACAGCTGTCCCTGGAAGGAACCCCAGCCCTGGGGCCAACACCCCTGCATGTAGCAAGGTAGCTGAGGGCTACCTACTCCAGCAGCCCTGGGCACTGAGGACACTGCTTGCTTATTACAAAATATCCTTTATTGATAAAATAGCTCCAGCTTTTAAAAAAACACTTGCATGTTACAAGCCACACTACCAAGGAGCCCATGGGACACACGTGACTAGCCAGCAGATGGTCACCAATCAGTTGGTCCCTTGGGCCCAGCCTCCCCACCACAGCAAAGGGCAATGTCCTGGCTTACAACTGCAACCAAAGGAGGACAGGCAGGACAACCTTCTTCCCCAGGGGACAACTCTAGTCCCCACCATTCTCTCTACCCAGCATCCTTCCCAATCCGGCAGGCCCATCAAAGCGCCAAGAGCCTCTGCCACTCAACCCACCCCTGTCCTCCATGCCAGGAGGCCCGCTGGCCATGGGGACAGCTGGGAAATGTCCTCTGTAGATGCCTGATTGTTCCAGGCATGAGGTTTGGGGGCAGAGAGAGAACCAGGAAGGTGAGGCCCTTTGTGATGGCATGCATCATGGCAGAGGGACCCAAGCAAGGGACCCACCCAGTTAGGACCACTTATGCTGCACAAGGACCCTGCTGGCCTAGAGGCCTTCCCCGGGCACTGCACAGGAGGCTGTTGGGAAGTCTGTGGGACCTGGCTCGCCTGCAGCAGCCCTAGCACCCCACCAGGGGACTCTGCCATCCTCCTGGGCCCTCAATACAGACAGCTTCCATGGTGTCGTGATTTTGAGCTGTCTCAGGGAAACAATTTGCTCAAAAAAGATACATCCCCCATTGAGGTGGGAGCCAAAGCCACCGAAAACCCTCCTGGTATTGCAGGTGACATGTCAAGAAGCTGTCACCCAACACAATAACCCAAACCTTTGTGGGCACAAGAATACATCCTGGAAGAATTTCTGTAACTCAAAATAGCGATTCTGTGTGCCATTCCCTACTTCCAAGCTGGGGCAGGAATTCACACACCCCAGAAGCAGAACAAGAGTCTCCAGGCAGGCGGGTGGCGGTAAACACACAGAAAAAGGGATTTTTATATCACCGGATAATCACATCTGCCGGTTCTCCAGTGCGTCCCCCATGGAGCTCAAAGCTTTCTGCAAAGCCTTTCATCTCCCTGTGGCAAGTAGGCGTCGAGCTATTGTCGCCCTGATTTTTTTGGGGGGTGAATGCCAGCGATCAGGGAGCTCCTATCGAGGCATCCACATGTCCACCCGCCTCCCAGAGGGGGCCAGGTGAGAAAACTGATCCATGGTTCCGTCCTTTAAAGGAGCCTCAGATCCCAGAGCAGAAGGGAGACAGAAGGTCCAGAACCAGGCCCGTCCTGTAAGCCCCTCCCGGCGCCCAGAGGGGCCCACAGTGCCCAACAGGGTAGACGGTCTTCATTCTTCCTCCTTCTCAGCAGCAGCAGGCCCTTCTGGGAAGTGGGGACACTGGCGTCCTGCTCTTGGGGGACCGGGGAGATATAAAGAAAGAAAAACACCACAAGCAAGTGACCTGTCAAGGGACACAAGGTCCTCAAGAAATAGAAGCCCACCCATGGGCCCCATGGGGGATTGACAGGGGGTGCCCTACTGCGGAACATTCGGGAAGGCCTGAGTTCTTTCAGCGCAAACCAAGCTGCCTGTGCTCAAGAAGAGGGTGCAGAAGAGGTCCCCCCAGCACAGAGCCAGCAAAGGGAGGTATCCACGGACCCCTGGAATGGCATTTCTGCCCCCACTCCTCCTAGGAGCTCCCAGGCTGAGGCCTGCAAGAACTGAGCAGGGACCAGAAAGCTCCTAGGGAGACAGCCCCCCAAGGCAGAGTAGGAGACAGGGTGGCCTGGAATGTACCCCACTCAGGCAGTGTGGGCAGGCGGGCTCACCAGGCTGTCTGGGTCCACTGGCGGCACAAGATCCTTCGGAAGGCACGGCGAAAGTCCTGGTTGAAGATGGTATAGATGACAGGGTTCAAGGAGCTGTTGCAGTAGCCAATCCAGAAGAAGAACTGGAAGAGGCCATGGGGCACCTTGCAGTGCTGGGGACAGATGGCACCCAGGCTGTAGGTGAAGAAGAAGGGGAACCAGCACAGCACAAAGACACCAATGACCACAGCCAGCACGAAGGTGAACCGCTTCTCCCGGGTCATCTGGGTCCGCCGACGCCACCACTGCCCATCCACAGCACCCACGCCCCTGCCCAGCAGCACCTGACCACGCAGGGTGGCGAGCACCCGGGACCCCTGTGGCTGCTGCAGGGATGGGCTGCACATAGAGGCAGGCAAGCCTGGCGCTGCCTGAGGCTCACACTCATCCCCTTCCTCCTCCTCCTCTTCCTCAGCTTCCTCCTCTGCAGGTGCCAGGACCACAGCCTTCTTCTGGCCCTGGCCTGAGGTGGGCAGTGCAGCCCAGCTGGGTGGCAGAGTCCTGGCCCCAGGGTCTTCAGAGGTCTCCCCCTCCTCCTTCTCCCCAGTAGGCTTGGGGTGTCCATTGGCCTCTCCAGTAGAAGACAGAGGTGAGGCCAGGGGTGGCACCTTGGCAGAGGCTGGAGCCCCTCCGGGGCTAGGACGAGACTCCTTTGACTGCCCCTCCCCTGGGCCGCCTTTGGCCCTGGGACCCCTGCGGTGGCTGCGCTTGGCAATCAGGTAAATGCGCAGGTACACCAGGATCATGATGAGGCAGGGGGCAAAGAAACTTCCGATGCTGGAGGCCAAGATGTACCACGCCTCTTGGTTGATCTTGCACTGGGGGAGCCCGCGGGGCTGGGGGCCCTGGTCGCCCTTGTAGATGAGAGGCGGCAGCGAGATGACGGCTGCTATGAGCCACACGGTGAGGATGATGCATTTGATGCGGCGCGGGGTGCGCTTGGAGTTGTACTCCAGCGCGCGGCTCACGGCCCAGTAGCGATCCAGGCTGATGGCGCACAGGTGCACGATTGACGAGGTACAGAAGAGCACGTCGAGTGCGAGGTACACCTCACACCACGTGCGCCAGAAGTACCAGTAACCCAGCAGCTCGTTGGCTAGCGAGAAGGGGATAATGAGCGTGGCCACCAAGATGTCAGCGGCGGCCAGCGACACCAGGAACAGGTTCTGCGGTGCGCGCAGGGAGCGGCTGGTTAGCACAGCCAGGATGACCAGCGCGTTGCCGAAGATGGTGAAGAGGATGAGGAAGGTGATGACCGCCGCGATGGCAGCGGTGGCCTGCACGGAGTAGGGCTCCTGGTGGTCCATGACGGGGGCCAGAGAGAGCGCACAGCTCGCCAAGCGCGCACCGCGGGACGGCGCACCACCCGGCTCGGCTACTCTAGGGTGCCGCCCCGGGGCGGCGCTGCAGGCGCTGGAGCCCCATGGCCTGGCCCAACGGGGCCTACGAGGTCCGGGGACACCTGGGGCCGGCCACCGCCCTCTTACATCCTCTTCCACTGGCACCCAACGTTCTTGGCGTCCGCCCGAGATAAGTTTTTCAAGTTGTCCTCTACCGTCCGGATCCGGCCCGGGACCCGAGGAAAGCGGCGGCCGGCGGCGTCGCACTACACGGCGGCAGCGCGCACGGCTGGGTGCCGGCCGGCGGGCCCTCGAAGGTGCGGCGCCGCAGGTCCCGAGGAGGCGCGAGCTGAGCCGCCGGCTCCCTCGCCGGCGTTCACCCGTAGCCGCGCCTGCAGGCAGCCCGCGCTGCAGGGGAGTGGGGCGGGGAGCGCGCGAGGAGGCGGAGCCGGGAGCGGCACGGGCGGGCGATGCAGTGTGCAGCCTCTGCGCGCCCCAGCCTGCGCCCTGCGCCCCCACCCCTTCCCTTCCACCCCAAACCCCGCGAGGCCGGAGGAGCCCAGCGTCTGGGGTCCTGGGTGGGGCCGCTCTGGGAAGGACACAGACAGAATAGGAAGGGTCGGTGCGCGCCGAGGGCAGAGTCGCGGAGCCGACGCGTCCACCGAGAAGGGGCCACTCTCCAGCGGGCTGTAATACCGGGTGCAGGGCGGTGGGAAGAGCTGCTCTCCCCTCCTGCTGCTCAGAAGCCCCAAGGAGAGGGGACCGGAGGATTAGGGCGCTGAAGCATAATAAGCCACACACCCGGGCAGCACCCCAGCAGTGAACACACACATCAGGTGGGTGGGGCTCCCGATCCCTTGGCCCCTGCTGTACTGACCCAGCCTCGACTCCGTGGGACCTGCGGAGCCCGAGGCGGCGCGCGGCTTCGGGATGCGAGCGCCCTCTGCCGCCGCCCGCGGACTCGGACAGTCCGCAGCCACCGGAGCCCCGCGTCCCACCAACGCCGGCGACTTTTGGGCCTGGGACTTGTGACTGCGGCCTTCCTATTGCAGCCTCACTTCCCCCGTGAAAGACTAAAGCGGAGGTAAGGGGGAAACTGGTTTCTACTGGAATCAGCACCCGCGACTCTGTCCCAAGTCCGAAAGGGGGCGTGGCGGGCACCAGCCTCTTGACCAATGGAAGGAGGACGGCCATGGGCGCGGCAGGGGGTGGGGGACCAGCAAACAGTTCTGCGCCTGGCGGGAGCGCTGACTGGTCTGAACCGAAGAGGGTGGTGGGGTGATCCCCGGTGCCCTCCGCCCAAAGCCCTCTTGGAGTGGCCTTGGAAAGAGGACTGGGGTAAGAAAGTCACAGTGAGCCGCTACCCCCCCCCCCACCGCCTTATGCCCTCTGAGAGCTACTGAAAGGCGACTCTCGCTCCATGACCCTCCCTAACCACTACCTACGGTCACCGGTGCCAACCAGGGCAGCCATCAGGGAGACCTGGCCCAGCAGAGAGCCAGCCTAGTGTTCACAGACCCCAGTGCTGCAGACCATGCCCTGTGTAAATAAGCATCCATCCCTCTCTGAACCCAGGGCTCTCACCTTGCGCCAGCCTGGCTGCCTCCATGGGAGCAGGGCGCGCAACCTCTGTGTGCTCACAGACTAGTCTTACCCTCTCCAGGCCCAGAGAGGCCAGGCCCTAGAGCACCACCCAGCCACGTAGGGTCCCCGAGCGTGTTCATCCTCCATCCTCTTGCGGTTCCTTCCGGACTGTCACAGCCAGATGGCGTGGGTGCTGCCCGGACCAGGTTTGCAGAGGCCAGCCAGTTTTCCTCGTGTCCCCTCCCCAGCCCTCGGCCAGAGAAGACCCCTCCAGAGACAGGTTTTAAGGATGTGTCCTTCCCACGCTCTGGTGTGGGCAGGCCTTGAGCCCATCCATGGTGACCAGTGATCTCGAATCCTCAGTCCCGGAACAGAAGGACTGAGAAGGGCCTGGGAAGTGGCCACTTAGGCAAGTTCCTTCATGTGGCTGTCACCCTTTGCCCCGGAGCCTGCAGAGTCTTGCACCCTGGAGATTAGAGAGGAAAGGGAAGGAAGGGCAGCCTTGCCCCCATCTCCACCCTCAGGCTGAGCCCAGGGAGGATTGTCCCAGACACCGTGACCAGTGGCCGCGGGCTTGTCCTCTGTTCTGTCTTTCTTACAGTGCCCAGCCCCTTCCATACTGCAGAAACCCAGCCAGGGCTGCCCACTGCTGCCCTCCCCATCCAGAAGACCCCCTGGGCCTTCCCCAGGAAGCTTTCCCAGGCCCGCGGAGCACCAGGCTGTGCTGGGCGCCCTCTACCGGCCCAGTCGGCCAAGAGCCCAGGTGGACACAGCCGGGGGCAGGCTGCGGACTGCAGACCGGGAGCCACACACGTCCCTGATTTGTAGTCTCTTCAGCAGCCGCGGAGGCCACCTCCTCCCAGACGCTCTGTGAGTGCGTGCTGGGTGCTGCCTGCTCCCCCACGGTGTTGGCGTGGTGCAGTTGCATAAATGACCGCTTCGCTGTACTCGCGCCCCCTCCCCCATAGGCACCTGCACTTTGGCGTGAAGCTTGGGATCTTCCCACTGTCACCCTGTAGGAGCATGTGGTAGGGCCCATCCCTCTGTCCCTGCCCCACTGAACTAGTGTCACCTGCACATGCTCTTTCCTGGGCACAGAAGGGACAGCGGTGGTCCCAGGAGTGGGAGGCAGACACTGGGCAGGAGGGGTTTCTGGGGGAGCAGAGTCCTGGGTGAGGTGGCCAGGGCTGGCCTGCAGGAGGAGGACTTGTCCTTGGAATCCATGCAGTGGGCACCCTCTTCACCCTGCCTTCTGTCTGGGGGAGGGAGCTATTCTTTACGGTCACCACCTGTCCCTGTCCCAGGCGAAACAAGGGCCTCTTTTTTCTTGTACTGGGGATCAAACTCACACTTGCCAGGCAGGTGCTTGTGCCAGAGCTAAATCCCCAGCCCCAGGAAGGTCCTCTTCCCTAAGGACCCTAACACCAAGTACATTCCCCACTTCCATACTCGGCACACTGTGCCTAGGTGGGGTGTGAAGGGTTCACTGTGCTGTCCCCTTCCTTCCCAGCGACTCCTGCCCCGTCCCAGGTCTGCTGAGGTTGTCGGATGGTGAGGACAGCAGGGCAGCTCCTGTCCCCTGGCCCAGGGCTCTGCTCCTTCATGTATGTGACACACAGCAGAGCCCTGTCAGGCATTGCCCAAATGTCCCTGGAAAGAGGAGCCACAGGGGAAAGGTGACCTGTGGTCCTCAACCTGGATGTGAGGCCCTAACAGGAAATGTGACAACTTAGCCAAAAGCCCTGGGTCCTCTTTCCCCAGGCCCCAAAGTAAGTGGTGGCAAAGGCGTCCTGTGGCCTCCCTGCATTGACTGGCTTAGCTTTTTTTTTTTTTTTTTTTTTGGTCTTTTTGAGGCAGGGTCTCACTATGCAGTTCAGGCTGGCCTTGAGCTCACTTTGTAGCCCAGGCTGGTCTCAAAAACTCACCACGATCCTCCTGCCTCAGCCTCCCAAGTGCTGGGATTATAGAAATGAGCCACCACGCCCGGCTGACTGACTCACTGTAAGGGGGCTGGGGATTTAGCTCAGTGGCATAAGCGCCTGCCTGGCAGGCACGAGGTCATGAGTTCAATCCCCAGTGCCAAAATAAATTCACTACAAGTCTCCCAATTTCTAGCACCCTCACCTTCGCTGCCCAGCTCTGCATTCCTCCCTCCCAGCCCCCTCCAGCTCCCCATTGTGACTTTCCTGGTCCTCTGGAAGCCACCAGGCAGTACTACTGACCTTACCCCCACCTCTGTGCCCACTGCATGGATTCCAAGGACAAGTCCTCCTCCTGCAGGCCAGCCCTGGCCACCTCACCCAGGACTCCGCTCCCCCAGAAACCCCTCCTGCCCAGTGCCTGCCTCCCACTCCTGGGACCACTGCTGCCCCCTTCTGTGCCCTGTCACTGATGGCTTCTACCCTCTCCATAACCCCCAGAAGTCACCATGGCCCCCAAGGCCAGACCTATGTCTGTCTCTTCCTTTGTCTTTTCTCAGTGATAAGGGATGCAGTGACACGTGACCCCGCAGAAGCCAGCAAAGGTCACATTGTTGCTGGAACTTCAAGACCAACTTCAGTCCCCAACCCTGCTCCCTAGTTGTGGTTCCTAGAGCAGGTCCACTTACCTCCCGAAGTCTGTCTGACCCCTGGAAGAGGGCGCAACCCCAGGGGCCACCCATGTGCTCACCTGTGTGGGAGTCAGCTCAGCATAGCGCACACAGCATGCATCCAACTTTATTTCTGCTTCCCCCCACAGCCAAGGCCCCAGGCCCTCTCACCCCTCGATCTGCAGGTCCCCAGCATGGTACCCTTGGGGATTGGGGTGCACCCAGAGAGTGGCTTTGCTCCTGGAACCATACAGGGTCATACAGGGGATTGGGGAGGGAAGGCCAAGTGGGGTGACCCTGTCATGTCCCCTCAGGCCAGAGCTTTTAGAAACAGGGACCGGAGGTGGAGAGAACTTCTAGTCCTCTATTTGGGTTATGTTCTTGCCATTTGCTGCAGCCTCAAGGGCTGGGCAAAAACAAGAGCAAGCAGATCAGACCAGCCTTCCAGACAGACCCAGAGGGCCCCTCTCTGTCCCTAGGAGCCCTTGGGGAAGGGCCACAGGGGACAGCTCAGGCCACTGAGAGACACTGGCTGGGGCTAACAGACAGGGGTGCTGCCTAAGGGGCTCAAGGGTCAGATGACTGAGCTGCTCAGACAGAACATGCTGTCTTTGGAGACAGAAGCCACCCACTCAAGCTCTGGGCATCCGCCTGAAGCGACTTCCAGGTTCCCAGCCTTCTGGAAGACCTGGGCTCTCCACAGTGGCCTGGACAGGTGTCAGCTGCTCTCTGGCTTCTGAAAATAGGGCTGGAGATTCTGTGGGCACTTGGGCCAGCCAGGACGGCTCCAGAGCCATGCCCGGTGCCAGTGCTCGAGGCCTTGACCTTGGGGAGGAATCCAGGGTCTGAGGTGGTCTTCCTAAGGCCTCTGCACTGAACTTTCTCCAGGCAGGGGGCTCCCACCCCTGAGGGCTCTCTCTGGGTCCTGCAGCAACACGCTGAATGCCAGCTTCAGGATCACTGGACTCAGGGCTCCTGGATTCCCCCGGCAGCGCCTCCAGGAGTCTCTGCAGGTAAGGTCTGGACGCAGATGTGGGACTCCCTCCATGGCTGTGGGCCTGGAACCCTGGAGCAGGAGACAGGAGTGAGGTCCCAGAAGCAGAAGAAAAGACATGTCACCTCTGCAAGGAGCCCAGGCTGGCTTTGGCTTATTCCAGGCGTCACGGAGCCCAGCTCACAGGTGATAACCAATGGGTCCCTCCTAAGCTGCTGCCTGAACCATTCAGACCCAGACTCCTGCAGTCCCACCAGGAGCAAGACGGCACAGCCACCCCATTCCTCACATGGGGCCCCTGAGGGCACCACCTGAGATCCCATGGCTCAGGCTTTCTGTGACCTCCCCTCCATGGCCTGGACTCCTGATGTCAATCCAGGTCTTCAGCCTTTACCTTCAGGACCTTCCTCCAGCACCGTGATGCCCCAGTCTTGCCCTCGTCTGAAACGGCACCCAGAACCATCTCGTGGACCCTCCACCCCCAGGCCTGGTACCCCACAAGTGGACCCCTCTGCAGCTAGCTCGTCCCTCACTCCCTGCCTGGGCCATCCACACATCATGGGTCTCCGCACATCCCATCCTCGGGGACACCCTGGGCTGCCCCCCTCAGCCTGTCCCAGAGGACAGAGCAGCCCCCTCACTCACTGTAGGACCGACCGAGGCTGCGATCAGCATCTCCAGGTCCACCTGCAGACTCAGGTCTATGCCCGGCCTCTTCCTGTGAGGTCGGAGGAAGTGCCTGGGCTCCACAGGGACAGCCCCACCCTCACCCCGATGATCTTCCATCCCGCTCCTGTAGCCACCGCACCTTCTCTTTCCCAGCCAATCATTCCACACTCAAACATATCAGCGGTGTCTGCTGTCTCCACAGAACCTTCCCCTGATGAGTCCCCTCCGGCCACCTCCCAACTTTCTGCTCCTTACCATAGCCACACCTCTAGAATCGACTACAAAGTTCTCACATTATCCCCTTTGATTTTTTCTTTCTGTCTTTTTGAGACAGATTTTCCTTACACAATTCAGGCTGACCTTGAACTCATTTTGTGGTCCAGACTGGCTCAACTTGAAGCAGTCCTCCTGCCTCAGCCTCCCGAGTGCTAGGATTAGCACACTGCCCAGCCTATGCCCTTTAATTTAAAAAAAATATATGATATCCAATATAGTAAGATATGTGAATATAGCAAAAAAACATCTTTAAGAAAGCTGGGCATGTGAAACCCCTGTGACCCAGCATTCAGCAGGCTAAGCTAGAAGGATGCCATGAGTTCGAGGCCAGCCTGGACTACAAAATGCATCAAGGTCTCCTAAAAAAAATAGAAATAAAAAATCTTTAAGAAATGAATCTGAGACAACCACACAGCTATATGCAAACAATAAAAGACAGACGCCCGACTCCTACCACTCAGAGCATTCCCAACGTCACTGAGCGGCTCACAGACCTCCTTAGCAGGAGGATGCACAGGCACAAAGCTTCACAACCTTGGGCAGGCAGGACCTTTTTGGTGCAGACCAAATGTACAGTGATAAAAAGTCTGGGCTTCAGAATTAAAATGTGCCCATGTTCATCTCGAAAGGGAAGAAAAATCCACAGAATATTAAAATACTTCCAAAGGACATAACGGGTAAGGAATATGTAAAGACTTCTTATGACTCAGCAGGGGAAAGACCACCCGGCTGAAAACCAGGGAAAGGGTCTGTATGTAAACTCCTCCAGAGACACACAGGTGGCCAGCAGCCCACTCAGCGTCATTAATTATTAGAAAAACACAAATCACGGGACAGTGAGACCCTTTCTCACCCACGCAGGCAGTGACACTCAAAGGATAGATTACAGGCATGACCAGATTCGAGGAAATGGGTGCCCTCCTCCCTGCCGGCGGGAAGAAAAGCACAGCACAGCCACCTCGGCAAAGGTTTGGCAACTGAGAGGCAGTGAGGATGGGGTTACACAGGGCCCAACAGGGCACCCAGGTTTCTACCACAAAGACGCAGAATGACCCAGAATCTTTTATGTCCATAATAGTAGCATTCATAATAGCCAAAAGGTAGAAAGCACCCAAATGTACATCAACTGATGAAAGCTGCACAGGGACAAGAGGGTGAGTATGCAGGGGAAAAGAGACAGGGTCTTTCTGTGTAGCCCAGGCTGGCCTTAACTCACATCGATCCTCCTGCCTCAGCCTCCTGGGTGCCAGGATTACAGGTGAGCACCACTACAGCCAGCTTGGAATAAACTAATTAAAAGCTACATATTACATAACTGTATGAAAGACCCATAAATACAGAAAAGATTAGTGATTAGCCTAGGCTGAGGAGGAAGGAGAGGGAACATCACATGTGAAATGCCCACAAAGAGGAATCTAGGCAACGCTGCTACACCCCAGCCTCACAGCGTCAAAGCATTTTCCCAAAGGGTTGCAGCAACTCACACCCCCATGTGAGAGCCGTGAACAGTGCCTGCTGCTCCACACCCTTCCTGGTGCTTAGTGCTATCAGGATTTTAAGCTTCTGCCAATCCAGGGACCGGAAGTGGTACGTGGTCTTTACTCCATTTCCTCAGTTACCAACGAGGCTGCCAGCCTTAGGGGTTTGTGGCACATTGGCTTTCTCCCGAGAGCCCTGCTCACTATCCTGCCCACTTTTCCATTTGATGATTTGTCTCGCTTACTAAATTCTTTCTATGTAAACTGGCCCTGGTGGCGCACCCCTGTGATCCCATCACTCAGGAGGCTGAGGCAGGAGGATCACTGCTAGTTCGAGACCAGCCTGGGCTACAAAGTGAGCTCAAGGCCAGCCTAAACTGCATAGGGAGACCCCGTCTCAAAAACAAAAAAAAAGGCCTCCCCCCAAAAAAGTCGCATTCTGTGTACAACCAGTTAGAGGCTGTCAAGACTCCCAGGGTATAACTTGTATTTTTGACTATGGTACCTCCTAAAGGTCATCATGGTTAATATTGCTGAATTTAGGGATTATCCTTCTAGTTTTAGGCATATGGTTGGCTGGCTGATTAAAGAAATCTGTCCATACCCCAAAGCTACGAAGACATCTTGCTGCAGTTTCGTCTAAATGTTGTAAAGTTTTTCCGTGCACATGTAAGTCATTTCTGCATGTGGAATTTATCTATGCATAAGACAAGTTAGGAGTTGACTTCCCTAAGCAGACACCGGGTTGTCTCAGAACCCTCTGGACACTAACCCAGACTCTCCTGAGAGACCAGCAATGCCCTCTTATTAGGGAGCTTCCATTCTGGAGTGCAGTCCACTGCAGACTTGACACCCTGCTCCCTATCTGTGAACCCATGCTACAGATACCATATGATGCTACAGATGCTAAGGACATCTTTACACTAACAGTTTGTGTATCTTACATTTACATAAAGACCTGCTATAAAACTGTGATGACATGTGCTGGGGTCAGTCCCTGTGCTTGGCCATTATTGGGTTTTCATATAAATTTTAGAATTATACAAAAAAATACTAATTTAGGGCTGGGGATTTAGCTCAGCAGCATAAGTGCCTGCCTGGCAAGCATAGGATCCCAAGTTTAATTCCAGGTACCAAAAAAAAAAAAAAAAACATAGAATTACACTCTCCCATCAACATTATTGGGGGTTTTTGTTTTTGTTTTGAGACAAAGTCTTTCTATGCAGTTCAGGCTGGCCTTGAGCTCACAACGATCCTCCTGCCTCAGCCTCCCGAGTACTGGGATTACAGGCATGAGCCACCACGCCCAGCTCATATTGAAGTTTTGAGTGGGAATTTCTCAAAATCTCTCCAAATTGAGAGAAAGATTTCAACTATCAATACTTTGTCTTCCTGTCATTGACTATAATGCATGTATTCAAATATTTTTTGGAGACAAGGACTCACTATGTAGTTCAGACTGGCCTTGAATTCACTGTGTAGTCTGGGCTGGCCTCAAACTCAAGGCAGTCCTCCTGCCTCAGCCTCTCAAGTGCTGGGCATTACAGGCATGCACCACTACACCCAGACCTATTTAGCATTTTTTAAATGGATTTTGTTCTTATTTTCCCTTGAATTTGATTTGGGAAAAAGGGATGGATATAGAATTTGCAAAGCATAAATATATGTTTTTTACATAGAGAAATTTTATACAGCTCTGTCACTTTTCTTCCTTGGGATTTTATTTTTATCTCTGAGGCTACACAGAAATACGATTCATTCATTTAGGGGCTGTGTGTAGCAATGGGGATTGAGTCCTGGGCTTTGCCCATGGAAGGCCAGCACCCCATTGAGCTACCGCCCTGGCTTTGATTCTTATACATTGTACCTTTAGCCTGAAGTTATCTCAGTTCTAGAAATCTGTTTATAGATGCCACCGCTCTCAGCACACTGGCTCTGACTAGTGACATCTGTCCTCTGTCCTCTGTCCTTCACTTCCTCTTTCTTTTCTTACCTGGATGGTCAGGATCTCCACTGGTTTTGAGTGGACAATAGGAAAACTTGTCTTAATATTTTAATATTTCCCCCTTAAAAATATTTGCCCTAGGTTTTTGGCAAATATCCACTTTCTAGGCTAAAGAAATGACTTTTTGTATTCGCTAAGAAGCTGTAACCGTAGGCAATGTGAACTCCTAATGCTTCTACATCATGGATCCACTGAGTGTCCAGTGATCCCCCCACCAGCCCTTCTGCAGCCTCATCCACCTCCCTCGCCGGCCCCTCCTGGCCCCTCACCTCTCCTGTGGGAGTCAGGGCTGCAGTCATATAGCCTGCGGACCCGGGTGATGTCCGAGGCGCTCAGGTTCCACCGCTGGCCCATGTGGACGCTGGGGGCCCAGAGCGGGGTGATGGTGGGCTCCCCGCGCCGGCTGAAGGCAAGCCTGGAAACCAGGGGTGACCTGCCTGTGTCAGGACTGACAATGGCAGGGGATGGGAGGGAAGGGGGAAGGAGGGGAGGGGAGGGGAGGGGAGGGACGGAACAGCTCACCTCCCATAGTGCATCACGGAGGAGTAGTCGTAGGGCGCCAGCATGTTGCTGCTCCGGGACTTGACGAAGTTGATTTCAAAGCCTTAAACAAATCAGCAACAAAAGCAGCTTGGAGACAAATGGAGCGCAAGCGGGCGGGCAAGGGAAGCGGGGAGACTGCTGGGGGCTCATAACTCGCAAGAGAAGTCTGGGACCACGGCCTAGTGTGAGTCCTGCACACCTGTCCTTGTCCCCTGCTCTCCTCAAGCCCTGGGAGGGATCCAGCCCTGCCCCAGGGGAGACAGAGGCACAGGGACCTTGCAGCCAGCTCTTCCTTTCCAGTCTCTGCCTGGGTTCACAGACCCCCCAGCTTCCCAGATGCCACCGGCTGGCAGCACGGCTTGGAAGTTCACCAGCCCGACACCCAACTTACAGATCTGCTTCCCCCACCTCCCCACCCCAGCCTGGGTCTCACTGCCTCATCCCAGAGCACCTGACCATCTGGCTTCAGCCCTCAAGTGCCCCACAATCCTGCTGCCACCTTGGCTGGCCAGTGCCCACTTCTCTATTTAAAAAACATATTTATGCTTTGCAACTTCTATATCCCCCTATCGTGAGGTTCTTCAGGCCTGGGAGGGGCCGGCTTACCTCCTGCCCCCTCGGAGTGAGCTCCTGAAAGGGTGCTGTGCCCTCCATCCTTGCCCACTCCCCCACCCCAGACCCAGCTTCGGTGACATCCATACACTCCTCCTCCCCAGGGTCCTCACCAGCCACCTTAGCACTAAGCAGCTCAGCATTCCAGCACCTCTGCCTGCCTGAAATAGCACACCCCAGACTTCTTAGCTTCTGTAGTACTGGGGGGAAACACAGGGAGTGCTAAACTCGGTTCCCAGCCCTTCCTATTTTGAGACAGGGGCCCAATAAATTGCTCAGACTGGGCGTGGTAATCCTGTAATCTCAGCACTCAAGAGCCTGGGCTATGTAAGCAGTTCAAGGTCAGCCTGCACCACACAGTGCACAAGACCTGGTCTCAAAGCAAAAGAACAGAAGTTGGTCAGACTGGACTCAAACTTGTGGTCCTCCTGCCTCAGCCTGCTGAATAGCTAGAATTACAGGTTTATGCCACTACGCCCAGGCCCTTTTATTTTTAAACACAATTTTTAATAGGCAATATTTGCAGCCAGGCCTTGAGGCACATGTCTGTAATCCTAGCACTCAGGAGGATGAGGCAGGAGGATTGTTGCAAGTTCAAGACCAGCCTGGACCACAAAGTGAGCTCAAAGCCAGCTTAAACTGCATGGTGAGACCCTGTCTCAAGAAGACAAAACAAACAAAAAAACACAGGCAATATATGCATTAAATCAAAAATGAATCATTAAAGATTTTTAGTCCAAGGTTCCTACTTCATCCCCCTTGCCCTGAGATCCTCCCTCCCTACCCCAGCATAGCTAATTCCTTCACTCTGTACACAAGAACTAAAAACCAAAGGTGATCTCACTTTTCTGTATTAGCAGAAGCCACATTTTCCCCTCGTAGGTCACTAGTGGGTTTTGGTGTTTCTGGGGATGGCACCCAAGGCGCCACCCATGCCAGGCAAGCGCTCCTCCACTGAGCTCTGTCCCCAGCCCAGTGAGGCTGGCATTCAGCTTATTGTGCTGTTAGGGAAACCCCTCTCACCTTCCTTAATGCCTGTCAAAACGACTCATCATCCCCTCCCTCTTTCATTTATTTTTCTTCGTTTAAATTGGGGCGTTCGGTTCATTTGTTTTCTATCTGAACGGCCTCGACTCTCTATCCCTACACATTGTCCCCACGCTGCCTTGGCTGGGAGGCAGAGGTTTTAAGGCAGCATCTCATGATTCACATTAAGAATCCCAGTGATCAGGCTGGGGATTTCACTCCGTGGCAAGGCACCTCTTTTGAGTTGGACTCCTGACACCAAAAAAAAAAAAAAAAAAAAAAAAAAGAACCCGTGTGGTTTCTTGAACTTCAGAGCTAAAAGAAAGGCTTGTTATTTTTCATTTTAACTTCTGAGGGAGACTAGCAGGGTGGGTTGTTATCAGATTCAACTCTACCTCCTGATCAGAATGTCTGTCTTCAGTCTGCTGTTTTAAAGTGGCGAGTTTGTCACACTGTCACAGCAAATGCTCGCAGGGGCCCACGAGAGACTCTGCATCCCCCATCACACATACCCATGCACACTTCTCCAGCTGGGTGTGGCCCTGAGTACCCAGGCTCTGGGAAATCCACAAACACTGCTCTTTGGCCCTCGGGGTTCCCCTGGGTTGACACCTCAGCATCAGAAAAGGCCCCACCCTAGGGGCTAATGCTTGCAGAAGCCCTGCGACTCCCCACATGCCCTGTCCCCAGCACTCACAGCCCTCCTCCACACCCACCTGCACAGGCTGCCATCTGTCTGTCTTCTCCCTTCCTCTGGACCAGGCCTCTAGCACTTCGGGATCTGATCCCTGCACGCGGCTGCTGCTCACAGGCTGCTGGGCAGGGGCTCCTCCTCCTGCCGGCTCAGCCTGCCAGGCTGCCTCGGTTCCATGTACCCCTCAGTGCCTGTCTCTCACACTCCAGCCCTGCAGAGCTGTCCTGCACCCCTTGCCTGTTACCTGCCAGGCTTTTGTTCCGGCTTAGTGTCCCTGGCTGGCAGGCAGACTCTGCCCTCACTCCCCACTGAGCAGAACATCTAGTATCATTGCAGCTTGAGTTACTCAGGGAGCAAGGGGCACCCCATCCTGCCTGGATCCCTATCTTACCCGGCAGGATCTCATGCCAATTGACACGGATGTATCGGTCGCGATCAGCACGTGCATGCTCATGCCAGAAGCCCAGCACATGCATGAGCTCATGCAGGACGATACCCCGGCCTCTGCGGAGACAGGGGGGTGCCAGGGACACCACCTGCATCCCTCCACTACGGCCCACACCAGAGAAGCACCTGCAAGACACCAGAAGGAGCCAGCTGGGTGCCACCCAGGCAAGGCACCGAGCAAGTGGGTCCCGTCCCTTCTTGCCAGGTCCTGAGATGGGTGGGCACCAGATGGGTCCTGGCCTTGACAGCCTGGCCCTGGGGGAAATGGGCCAGTGCAGCCTGGTTGCTGGCCTGGTTTGCCAAGAGGAGGTGGGAAGTGACATTCTCAGGGATGACACCCGGTTCATTGGGTGGGCCCACAACATAACCCCAGCCCATACCCCCAGGGCCCTCATCCCAGGTACCACCACCCCCCACCCTGGAGAGAAGGGAAAAGGGAGTTCCTAGGGAACTCCCCTAGACTTAAGTGACTTGTAGGCCCCACCCAGAGCCTCTCCCTCTGGGAGACAGGGCTCTATGGACCAGGGTCCTGGCCTGGGGACGGGGCATACGTTAGGGGCGGGTGGGGCAGTGGGGATCCCAGTTGGGCCAGACCTAGCTTGGCGCCCTCCAGCTCTGCCTGTGCCTCCCAGCTCACCCAGCCATGGGGATGATGGAGATGAAGTCTCTCTGGCCCTGGTAGGTGACAAACCGGATGCACGTAAAGCGTTCAAACTCTGCAAAGGCCTCCAGGATGACCCGGCGGCTGGGCTCATCTGTGGATGACACCCCCTGGCTGAGCCCCTGCCACGAACAGGACTCCAGCCCTTGAGGCCAGAGGTTCCTAGCAGTTTTGGAACCAGAGATGGGTTTTGTGGAAGACAATTTTTCCACAGATCTGCATGCCTCGAGTGCAAAGGTCACGGTAGGATGTGTCACGCCCCTGTGAGAATCTAATGTGACTTGAGGGGACCAGAGAGGCCCCATATGTCCCCCTTCTCAGCCCCCAGGGAAGAGCTCTGTGGGTGGGGAGAAGAAGTGGCCACACGGGGAAAGGGGGAGAAGACCCCGGGCAGGAAAGAGCTGTGGGGTGGGCAGGCCCATACCACGCATGCCTACCATACTTGCTGGACAGCAGGAAGGGGACCTCCACAACACCATCAGCGCTTTTAGGCCACTTATTGTTGGTCACCGACAACAGCTGGAAAGGACTCTGAGGAGAGAGGGCAGCTCAGGGGACACAGAACACCAAGGCTCCATGTCCCCAAGGGCACCACGCCCCAGGCCACTATGGATGTGAGAGGAAGTGGAGGGCGGGAATGTGGGAGGCTAAGAGCCCGCATGGGCATCCTGATGGCCAAGACACAGGCCTGGTCTAAGAGAACAGAACTCTCGGGTGGAGGAGTTCAGCCAGAGGACCTAGCACCTTGGCAAAGCAGGGCCACCCTAAAGAGGGAAAGATGAGGATGGGGCCCTGCCAGGGTAATGGCCTTTCTCCATCACTGCCCCAAACAGAACGCCGGGGTCGGCTCTCAGTGGCCCGGCTCGCCAGCAGCCCAAGATGGGCTCCACCCTGCTCTCACAGCAGTGTCCTCCTCCCCAGGCCTCACAGGATAACCTGGGACACAGCCTGCGGGCTTCACCTTGGCTCTCACATCCCTCCTACAGAGGCACCCCCAACCCAGCTGGACAGGTGCTGTCCCCGCCACCGGCCTAAGTCAGAAGCATCTGCCACTCTATCTTCTAAAATTCTCTCTCATTCATCCTCTCTCTCTCTCTCTCCTTCTAACATCACTACGCTGGACAGTGCTGCTCCCTCCTCGCCGGCTGGCCACTCCAGTCCCATGGCCTCTTCCCTCTGACTGCCCAGGTGGTCCCTACATTCCTCCTGGCGCTTCTTGCCCCATCATCACGACCACCCACATCTCCCCACCCACCAGGCGACTCCTTGCAGCCCATGTTCATCCTGCTGTTCCTGAGCACCTGCCCTTGGCTGGGTCCCAGGCAGGATCATGAAGGCTCCCACCTCCTCCACCACCTCCTCCTCCAGGAAGCCCTCCTGGGCTGAAGTGGTGCCACCTCAGCAGCCACCCTCCCTTAGTGCCCACGCTGCCTTTCCTCTAGAACAGCTACCCTGACCTTGGCAGGAAGGGGTGTCCACCCAGCTGTGAGACGGGCCCCTCCTGGGTCAGCTCAGAGGGCCCTGGAGTGCACACTCACTGGCCGGATGATGTCCCCTTCCACAAGGAAGCTGCCATCTGGGCTTTCCTCCGGGATGAGCCCTGGAGGAAGAAGACAGGGACCTGTGTCAGGCCATGGGCTGCAGGGACAGGCCCGGCATGGCTTCAGTGCGAGGTCCGAAGCTTCCCTATGCATCGCTCTACTTTGGAGCGAGAGCTCCCCTGAGTACTGGGGCTGGGTGGCCTCAGGTGGCTGCACAGCCTGCCTCGCCCACCCCCCATCTGATCGCCCCTTCTGCTGCACAAACTCAGCTTTGGCTGCCCGGGGCTCCAGTGGTTAGGAAATGGCTTCTCCCTATTGGGTCCTCAAGCCCCATCCCAAGCTGCGCTCCTCAGAACCCGGGCCGCTCCCCACTTCAGGGTCCCCAGCACCCCCTACTCGTGGTCACATCCAGCACCCTCGAGGTGCTACCGCCACCCCTGCACCGCCAGGGGAAGCGGTGAGTCTGGCTCTCGCGCGCCCCCTGCCGGCAAGGCTCGGCCAGGCTTCTCCGCTGCTCCTGCAAGCGACTTCCGCAGGAAAAAGCCTTGGCTCAGGAGGGACCTGGAGGACACGGGCTCAGAGTGTACATGCCTGCCCCCGCGAGGGCGAAGCCAGGCACACACTCCTCCGAGCCACCATGGGCCACACCGGCAACAATGGGCGGTCTCCCAGGGGCCTGTGCTGGGATCCGGCCCAGCTGGGAGCCATTAGCAGTAAGCAGCTGGGACACCCAGCTTCTCAGGCAGGGCCACTGGGCAGGGTATAGGGGCTGTTGGTCACTGCAGGGGCTCCCGGAGAGTGTGAGGTCACTAGGATGGGATTTCCCCATGGCATCTGAAAGTCAGTGCCGGGAGAGGCTCTTTTCAGACCTTCCACGGTGACCAGAGAGGGGACTGGGGTCCCCTAAAGGCCCAGCCCAGAAAAAAAGGGGCATGATCACATGACCGCCACTGCATTCCCTTAGGGTCCATCAGAGGGCACAGTCACCCTGGCTTTACCACACTGGGGCCCTCATCTCTACACCCAGCTCCATTCGGATGAGACTTCCCCCTCCCCAGAGAGGGAAGCCTCTGGCTGCAGGCTGGGTCATACCTGCAGATGGTCCCTCCCAGGGTAGCTCACACCTCAAACATCTGCTGATGGTTTAGCTTGCTTCCAGGCTGAGCCAGTGCCTTATACTCTTGCCAAGTCACTTTAAGACCTTCAGTCTTAGCTGGGCGAAGTGGTGCACCTCTGTACTCCCAACACTCTGGGAGGCTGAGGCAGGAGGATCACTACCTAGTAACTTATCAACAGTGTCTCAAAACAAAAAAGAGCTGATGATATAGCTCACTGAGAAGGCCCTAAATTACTAGAACCCTTCCCCCCCCCCAAAAAAAGACAGCAATCCACCAGAAAAGCTGCAAAAAAACAGATTTAAGCATTGGCCCGTAGGACTCTTCCTGCTGGTCCATTTCCTCCCAGCTTTTCCTGCACCTCTAAATACGAGTGCAGGTTTCACATCCACAGGACAGTGTCATTCCCTCCAGGCCACGAGGAGGCACAGTGCCCTCACCTTGGTTAATAGCTGGGATGTCCTTGTCCCAAGACGCCTGGGTGCCCTCAGGAATGAGTTCTTCTGAGAAACTGTCGCTGCAGTCTCCTGCACACTGAGAAGCCGGGGACACTCCGAGGATCACCTCTGCCCAGACACAGTGCAGATGCATGGGTGCCCCCCCCAGCGGAAACACAACAGCAGGATATGGGGTGGGTGCAGACCGGGCCCCTGAGGGAGGATGGCCAGCTGGTTCCAGAGGTGGCCTGCTTGGCCCAGCTCAGCTCAACAAGTGCCAGGGGGCCAACTTCAAGGAAGGAGGCCCCTCAAGGGCCTAACCCTGGGCTGGTAGTAAGGACTGTAATCCCTGCACTCGGGGAGGCTGAGGCAGGAGAATGGCAAGTTTGGGAACTTATCAAGTTTAGAGAAGTCCTGTCTCAGAATACAAATTTTAGAAGGGACTCAAGGACAAAACTGAATACAAAGACACTGGGTTCGATCCCCAGTGCCACCAAAAACATTTTTAAAGCCTGGGAACAAGGGCCAGGCTCAGACCCTGCCCCATGACTCCCTTTCTCAGCCTGGGGTTTTGGGAAATGAGCTCAGCCTGGGGGACTTGCCCCTCACCCCAGCCGGGCCAGCGTGGAAACCCCGCCCCAAAAGAAGGCAGGCTGGATGAGACTCCTGCGCTCTGCTGCCCCAGTCTCTCAAGAGCCAGGAACCTCAAAGAAGCCCCTGCTCCCCTTCCTGGCCTCTCTGCTTACCTGGCAAAGAGAGCAGACCCAGCACCCGGAGCCACAAGCCCCCCTTGCACCCCATAGTGGGCCCCCACCAGCCCCCAGCAGGATAAGGCAACCAGATTGCCGGCTCAGCACCACCACCACATCCTGATCACCTCCCCCCGCCTTAAATAGCTGCTTCTCTAGCTCCCACCTGCAGCCCCCAACCACCTCCACCCAGACGACCACCTCCACCTGTGCCCCCAACCACCCCCAGCTGTCACCCTCCCCACCCACCCGTGGCCCCCAGCCCAGGCCGGGGCCTTCCAAACCATCCCACCTGCCAGGCCCTCTTTGTTGAGCCTGTGGCTCGGCTAAGGTCCCCTCCGGCCACCAGAGGGCAGAGCCGCATTGTAGGAGGGTGCTCTGGGCCTCGAGGGGCTGCGGGCTAGGCTCCCTCATCCTGCGGGGGGGGGGGGGGGGGTACTGTGCCCTCATTGCACACAGAGACATGGGAAAAGCTGCTCGAGCCCCCGAGGCCCCCCAGGATATTCGGACAGAGGAAATGTCACTATACCTTTTATTTTCCTATCCGTATAGAAAAGCAAAGGATCGCAAATAGAACATGAGGCACACACCTATAATTCCAGCATTCTGGAGCCTGAGATGGGAGAAAGCCAGGAAGCCAGGAAGAAAGAAAGGGAGAGATCTATTCACGGTCACAAGTGCAGGGCTCCCTGATATTTCACATCCAAATGCCCCTTGTCACCAGCACCCATGCAGGGAGGATGGAACATGGGGCACTCAGCCCCGCCACACCCATGAGCCCTGTCACACCTCCTGCAGCCTGCGTGGGCAGCCTGTGTGCATCCCCAGCCTGCAGACTCAGACAGTCACTCCTTACCCGTCTTTCTATCTGTCACCAGCCTGGCCACCCCAGGGACCCAGTGATATTGATATCCTGGAGGTGAGCTTGTGGGCACCTGGCAGAATTTGGAAGCAACGACTCCACCGCCAGTGCCCAGGGAAGGAAGGGACAGCTAAGGACAGCATCCATTGTCCCATCTCCATGTCCCTGTGGGCCTGGAGTCCAGCACTTCTCGAGACAGAAATCAGAAGCCCGAGGAGATGAGAGGTGAAGGCAGGTGCCCTGAGGCCTGGGTAGAGTGCTGAGGCATGTCGCACGCACACCCTGGACCTGCTACTTGGCTTGCTCTATGGTCATTGCACTGTGAACACACAAACCTAAGGTGTCCTGAGGTACACCTTAAACATACATGACTACATCTGTCGGTTACACCTCAGCAATGCTGGGACACAAAATAGGACCCATAAAGAAGGACACACCGGGCTGCCCATCCTCAGTGAAGCCACACATAGAGTGCACACTTGCAAGCCCAGCTACCAGGGAGACGGAGGCAGAAAATCGAAAATTCAAGGCCAGCCTGGACAACTTAGCAAGACTCTGCCTCAAAATAAAAAGGGATAAGGACACAGCAAAGTGGGGGAGCTCCCTGGTTCCACCCTCAGTGCCAAGGGAGAAAGAAGTGCTGAAAATAGAAATTAAAATGATGAGCTGAGCGTGGTGACTCACGCCTGTAATCCCAGCACTCGGGAGGCTGAAGTGGGAGGATCATTGGGAGTTCAAGACCAGCCTGGGCTACAAAGTGAGCTCAAGTCCAGCCTGAACTGCATAGCCAGATCCCGTCTCAAAAAAGACAGAAAAAAAAAAAAAAGAAATTAAAATGATGATAATTATCACCGAGCTCGAGTAGAAAAGGGACTCACAAAGTCAGTCTTGAAGAGATTCCTCTAGGGAACAAAGCCGGGCTCGATGCTCAAGATGACTGATGTGGTCTGAGCCCAATTCTCGAGGTCCCTCGTGTGGTCACATTCCTGTGTGGGAGCTCGGACAGAGGCCAGCACAGTGGGAGTAAATGGGCAGGCAGTTTCTGTTTCGCAAGACAGAAACCCCAGCTGGCTTGTCCAGCCTGAGGGCCTACATAAAACTACTGAACCCTTAAAACAGTAAAAGTGATCCATTTTGTATAGTGTATTTTTTTACTAGAACAGGTAGTTAAAGTTTTATTTTGTTAGTTTATTTTATTGGTTTTTTGAACAGGGTCTCGCTATGTATTCCAGGCTGGCCTGGAAACCACTCCTCCTGCCTCAGCCTCCCCTATGCTGGGATTACAGGGATGTACCACCATGCCTAGCTGCATTTTAAAATAAATAGAGAAGAAGAAGTTTCATTTTTTTGGAAGACAAACTATCAAAAACACCGGGAAGGGGAGGGGAATGGGTACAGCACAAGGCCCCAGCCGCCAGCCCTGCAGTGTATGAGCTGGGCGCCCAGGTGGGATGCAGGTGGGACCACTTACCCAGGGAAGCTGGGGGAGAGCAGGCAGGCAGCTGAGTCCTCCCCAGAGTGCTCCGCCTTCCTCCAGAGGGCAGTGGGGACCACTGGGCTTCAGGGAATGAGTGCTTGTCCATGGGGACGTGTACAAACACCAGCCAGGACGGCCCCCAGGGTCCTCAGCCATCTGACAGGGCACCTTGGCCACATCTACAGCCCACAAGCCAGGGGCAGCGATGAGACCACTTTGCAGCAGAAGAAGCGATACAGAGAAGGTAAGCAAAACTGGTACCCCAAGCACCTCGGGAGGCCAAAGCAGGACTGGAAGTTCAAGCCCAGCCTGAGAAACTTAGCAAGACCCTATTTCAAAATAAAAAATAAAAACATGGGCAGCAAAAGAAATGTCCATGAGCACTGGTCATTCGAGAGATACAAATTCAAACAACACTGGGATTCCACCTCACCCTGGAAAAAAAAATGGCTACTAATTAAGAAATTAAACAGTAACAAGTACTGGAGAGTCCTTGGGAAAAAAGGAAACTTCTCCACTGCTGGTGGAAGTGCAGACTGGTGCAGCCGATAAACTAGCCAAGGATAAACTGGAGACTTTCATAGGTAAATGGATGCCACTTGAAACCATACTCAAGTGAAAGAAATCAGATTCATGTGTGTCAATATCGTGCTGTCTCCCTGGTGTGAGAAGCTGGGAGAGTAAATAACATTGACAATGTACAACATTGTAAAATGAGAAGAAACTGTTCAAAAGGAAAGAGAAACTGGAATGGGGGAATGAAGAGGGAAAATATATATTAAAAGATAGGATAGTTATCCTGCTAATTTCTCTCAGTTCATTGAAAAGTTTGTGCTAATATTGTTTGGACAACCAAATGCCTTTATCTTGATTCTAAGTAACTAATTTAAAGATAACAATATGCCAAGTATTAACCATTGTTACTCTCCTATTATCTTACTTTGGAGTTTCGTCATTTTTTTCTCTTTTAAATAAAATTTATAAAAAATTCAATTCAATTTAAATTAAAAAGTTCAAGTGGGAAAGCCTTGGGTTCAATCCACAGTGTTGGGGGAAACAAACACAAAACAACCTGGCTCTCTCATCTGACACCCGGAACACCCTCCAGGCACACACTTTCAGGACCAAAAGGAGTCCCGGATGACTCGGAGGCGTCCAGGCCAGCTCCCCCACACCACCCCAGCCAGCCACAGTGCTGCCCTCCACTCCCGCACAAGGGCCAAGTTGCCGGTGAGCGCTGGGCAGGGCGCCCCTCCAGTGTCCAGCAGGAAGAAGCTGGCTGGGCCACTGTGAGAGCCACTAATCCCTAGTGCCGCATCGTCTCCCCAGACGCTGGGTCACACACTTCCTGGGGACAAGGAGAGGCTCAGAAACAGGGGCCACCATGCACCCCAGCAGGGCCAGGCAGGCTGAGGCCTCGGGCCCAGCCTGGGACTCAGGTAGAGGTGACAGCCCGGGCTGCCCTCTTGCGAGGAAGGAAAAGCCTCACACACGCACACACACACCGGAAGTCACACACGGGGAACACAGGCTCCTGGGGGACACACGCACTCTCCCACACGCACCCCAATCGCTGTGATCATGGGCCAAGACCTTTGTCGGGGGAGGGGCGGTGCAACCCAATCAGAAAACAGCTCGGGACCCTTCCTGGGCAGGGAGGGAAGACCAGACACTGGGGAGTTTTCTAAATAAAACAAATATTTTATTGACCCCCCCCCCCCGTGTTCTGTATAAATATAAAGTGCTAAGTTTCCAGCCCCCGCCCACAGGCTGGGAGGAAGTGGGGGAAGGAGTGTTAAATGTCAGTTGGACACAAATAACTTTCCGGCGCCAACACAGGCGAGAAACGCTGGCGCAGACTAACACGCGAGCCAGGGGTCCTTTACGTGACACACGCGTCACTTCCGCGTTCCCGGCTCCTCCAGGAGCACAGGGCTCAGGTTCTGGCTCCAGGACCCCTCCCCACCACGGGGCTCCTGGTTGTCACAGCTTTGTTCCCTGGGGCTCCCTGGCTTCAACGTGGCGATGGGACCAGAGAGTCCAGGGTGTAGAGTCCAGTTAATTTCTGCTGAGGAGGACAGGCCGGAGAGAGCAGACAAGCCCTGGGTCCTTGTCCCCTGAGTCAGGGCCAGCCCTTAAATCCCCAGCAGAAGAGCACCTGGTCACAGAGGTCAGCATTGCTGCATTCCTTGCAGCCCCACCAGGGGGCTCTTCAGACTCAAGGAGGCAGCAGCCCCCCACCACCGTGAGGGACGCACTTAGTCACAGGGCCCCCACACGTGTGCTGTTGGAGGGTGCAGTGGCAATGGGCTGTAAGATGGCCCTGCCTCAGTGACACAGCACCTGCGTCTCAAACTGCAGCAGCTGCCCCATGAAGCTGAAGTTGGGGGAGATGACCCCCCTGCGCTGCTTCACGAAATCGAAGGCCTCGTCTAGACGCACCCGGCGGCTCTGGATCAGGTAGGCCAGGCAGATGGTGGCAGAGCGCGAGATGCCTGCTTGGCAGTGGACAAGCACCCGGCCTCCGCTGTTCTTCACTGAGTCTTTAAGAGAGACAGGGTAGGAGTCAGGGACCAGCCAGGAGATGGGTGTCCCCAGCCTCCCCTCCGGTGGCACCACCTTCCCAGGCTCTGGACTTAAGTCCCCCTTACCGATGAAGCCTATGGCCTCCTGGAACCAAGCGCTGATCTCCACCATCTGGTTGTCCTCCACCGGGATACTCTTGTAGCGAAGCAGGCCCTCGAAGTGGTTGGGGCAACTGGCGGACACATTGAGGACCGCGGTGATCCCGCAGGCCCGCAGGCCCTGCAGGTCCGAGGAGTGGCTGCAGCTGCCCAGGTACAGGAAGGGCAAAATTTCCACGGGGCCTCCCTAGAGGAGAAGGTCAGAGCGATGATGAGACCTTTTCAGCCCTGGCCTGGCAGACTGAGTACCATCCCCGGGACACATCGCGGCTGGCCCAGGGCCTCTGAGCAAGGGCACAACTCGGAGGACACTCAGCTCCACGTGCTCCACGTGACCCAAACACACTGGGGCTGATGCAGACTCACTGAGGCCCTCTCCACACGCACACACACACACAAGCACGCTCACGCACACAAAGGTGAATGTGCAGAGACTTCTCCCTCTTTCCCTAGATACGCCTATTTAGCATGGGGATAAGTAGGGGACAGTGACAAGGGGGCCAGATCACAACTCACCTGGTCATAAACGGGAACCCTGAGGTCAGTGTTACTGCTCTCGGTCCCTGCAGGGGGCAGCACCGGGGCGGGACCTTCGGAGCACAGATCAGGACAGCAGGCCTGGAAGCCATCGAAGCCTCCTGCGGGAAGGGGAAGAGCAGTTAGCGGAGAGGGTTCGGCACGGAGGCGGGCAGCGGTGCGGGGCGGCGCACGGGGCAGGGGCGCTCACCTCGCAGGAAGCACACGGCGGTGGGTCCCGCGCGGGTCTCGTGCAGCAGCGCGGCGAGCAGCACGTGCGCCGGGCCGTCAGGCCGCAGCTCGGCCACCGAGGCGCTGCTGCCTTCGTCCAGCACCACCGCGCGCGCCAGCTCCCCGCGGGTCAGACGCGCCCGGAGCGCGCGGTCGGGCAGCAAGCAGGCAAGGGCAGCGGCGGGGGGTCCGCGCGCTCGGCGCCGCAGCAGCGCGTTCCAGGGCACCGGCCGCGCGCCCCGCACGTGGCCCCGGCAGAAGGCCAGGAACGGGCGGCAGTCGAGCAGCAGCGTGCGCTCGGCCTCCCGCGGCTCCCGCAGCAGCGCGCCCAGCGCCGCGCTCTCCACCTCGCGTGCAGTCTCCAGTCCCATGGCGATCGCGCTCCCCGAGCCTCCGCCTCGCCTCCCTCTCGCTCTAGTGCCGGGCTCTTGCGCGTTCCGAGCCACTTGTCGTCTCTGGGCGCCGTCGGCGGCGCCTGGGCTTAAGTACTCGCAGGCCGGCCTCCGGGGCACCATACAAGGGCACAGCAGGAAGGCGCTGCCCCGCCCCCGCGCTCACGTGGCGCGCGGGCCTGGCGGCCAGGGAGGGAAGCGGGGAGCGGCTTGTGGGGGAAGGTGCTTGCGAGACTTGGGCGCCCTTCCCGGATCTTTGCACCCCAGCCAGCGAGAACGCTCCTGGCCAGTCTGTGCTTGGGAACTGGACTTCGCAGCCACGCAGCTCCATCCACGGACCTCGGGGCTTGTGGGGCTCCCTACACCCTTTTCGGATTCCCTTCCTTGACCAGGGTCTTCCTCCTAGAAGTTTGTGACAATAGAAATCCCTAGTGAGGTGGGGCACTCCCGCAATCCCAGCGCTCTGGAGGCTGAGGCAAAAGGATCGCTGGGAGTTCGAAACTAATCTGTGCTACAGAGGGAGACCCTGTCTCATCCCCACCCCCCACCCCACCAAGAAAAAAACCTGACAGATGCCAGCTGCTGCAGATGATTCTCCAAAGGATGGGGTGCCCCCAAGTAGAGTCCCTTTCCTCTTACTTACAGACCCTTAGGAATCACCCCACCCTGAAACCATCATCAGGGTTCACCATAGATTGGTGGCTCTGTGAAGCCAGACCCTGGTTCCCTGGACCCAACCAGGCCCCTGGTCTTTGGCCTAGAGGGGTCCGGGACGGTCTAGGGGGCTTTGGTGGTGGGGAGCAGAGGCCTGTGACGAGTTTCCAGTTAGGAGCCGGCAAAGCTTCTTCTCCCAGGGCCCAGGGAAACCCCCAGGGGCCTGGGGAGAAGCGTTTCCCCTGTCAGGCCAACTGCGAAGGGGAACTCTGCTGACGTGCTGCCGGGCTCTCCCCGGGCCTGGCCAGTGGGAATTTCAGGGGGAAGAGGGAGCACGGCTAACCCTCCCACCCTTCCTCCTCCCTCTCCCCCCTTCCTCCTCCCTCTCCCGCTCCCCCTCCTCCCTCCTCCATCTCCTGCGCAGCCCAGGACCCCACTTGAGCAATTAGACTGTGAACTGAATGATCCACTTCCGTGTGCCCGCCCCCACCCAGCACAGGTGCGGATGTGGCCAGGCCCAGGTGTGCGTGGGGGATCCAGGCCCCTGGGGTTGGGGCCAAGACATGTTCGTGGGTGGCTGAACCCCAAAACAGAGTTCACGTGGGTGGGGACGCTGTGTTGAGCTGGAGTGCCCCAGCTGCACGGGATTTCAGAACTCGACCCCCCCACCCTGTTATCATTTTGCTTTTTCTAAGACCTCTCTGCCTCTGTGGACCCCCAGCCCCCACAGAGCTGCTCCCAATGGGGTGCTGGTCTCTGACTGTGTGTGGGAGATGGCCTCGCCTCCTCTGTTAGATGGAACTTGGAACTTATTGTGCTGGAGGCCCAGGACTCAGGGGAGAGAAGCCCCCAGGACGGTGCCACCCTTTTGTGCCTCAGTGTCCCTATCTGTTCATCCCCACTGGTTGGGAGGCTGTGTAGTCCCTGCAGCTGAAGCCTGGCCTTCCCTGCCCCGACCGGTCTTGAGGCTGAGGCAGCAGAGCCCACAACAGAGCCGTGGAGTCTGGGCCGCAGATCCTGGAGGCTGATAGCGGCCCTTATCCTTGGCATCAACTGGACAAATGGCTTAATGGCTGTTTCTGGGGGCAAATTACAGAGCACACAGCAAGATCATCAGTCAGGCCCAGGCTTGCTGACCGGTGGGGCCTGCGTCACCTGCCACGCGTGCGGGGGCCACAACCTCCCAGCTCCATTGTGGGGGGGCCTGTCGGCGCAGTTTCCTGGGGGGGGTGGGGGAGTGGACCCAGCTCTGTCAGACATTGCTCTCTGGAGGGGCACAGTTGTATTTAACCTGACAGCACAGTCTCAGGGCACTGCCATTTAAGCAGGCCTGACCTGGCTGTGAGGGAGGGGCTCCCCTCTGCCTCCCTCCTCTGCTCCCAAATGGGGAGGAGCCCCTCCACCCCTGCGCTCCTAACAGCTGGGAAGAAGCCCAAGGCTGGGCCAGGAGAGCTCACGCTGTACCCTACTCTTGTTCTAAGGGTTCCCCACCCTTGCGTGCTGCTCCAGAACAATTAGTATCGAAGGATGCCTGCTCCCTCGCCATCTCCCAGGATGCCTGGGCACCAGAGCAGATCTTAGGAGCCAGGCAGAGGGGAGACCGGGCTCTGGGCACATAGGGAGGATGACATCAGGGGTCCCTGTAATCTGGGGTGCCCCGAGGCTGCTGGTTCTGGACTGAGGACCCCACTCCTCATTCCTGGTGGAGGAAGGACAGCCCTGGTGGGGGCCATGCTGGTTTTGTTTTGAGCTTTTCCGGTTACAGAAGGGAGTCCCTCACTCTGTCAAGTGAGTTTGGGGATCAGCTTTTTTTTTTTAATTGAAAAGCTATGGGGCTCAAGTGGAACAAATGATGATTCTCTGTGTTATCCTTTTTATAACTATTTTGACAGCTGTGCAAATGTCATTCATCTTCTGGCTTCGGGGTTCCCGGTAGGTCTGCCCAGCCCCCGTGCATTTCCCTTCCACCATGGCACCTCCTCCTTCCAAACCTACACCCCAGGCAGATGCCCAGGAGGCAGCAGACCCTGTCGCCTAGGCGCTGGCGCCAGAGATGCTCAGGACAGAGCAGTTATGGAGGTGAGAGTGGCTGCCACCCCCAGCCTGCGCCAAGAGTGAGTCAGGGTGACGTCAGGTTTCCTGAGCTAGGCGCCTGCCACCCCCACAGGCTCCTGCTAGGCGAGGACCCAGACATCCCATGCCAGGCTTCAGTGACAGCACTGCCCTGCACAGTGAGGTGGGGGTGCATGGGGGGACCTTGGGTGTCCAGCTTTCTCCTTGGGTGGGTGAAGCAGGAAGCCCTGAAGGTTGGCTCACTGTGGCCCTCACATGGCAGAGGGGGCTGGTGTCTGCTCCTTTGTGCTTGTGTGGCATTTGCGTGTCTTTCAGTAGGAGCACACGCGGGGTGGCCCTGCCTGGGAAGCTCTCCTGGACACAGCAGGGTCTCTTCAAGGGATCTGTCCACTATGGTCAACACATCCTGACCCCTACCATGTGTCACTGAATTCTGGGTCCCCTTCTCTTCTGCACCCATTCAGCAGGAGGCCCAGTGGTGCCCCAGATGTAGAGGAGGCCCTGAAGACTTCCAAATTCCATGGGAGAAAGCCCTGCCATTTTCAAATCCCATGAGAGGAAGTCCCCCCATGTTCAGATCTCTCTCCCTCAATCCCATATGATGTCACGAAGGCTTCCCTTGAGGCTGGTGTGGTTTGATGCCTCTAACAGTCTCTTTTCTTCCTTTTGACAGAAGTTCATGCCCTCCGCCCTGTCCGGGTCACCCGTTCCTACTCTGCACTTATTCCTTGACTCAGCCCCTTTTGAAAAAAAATATATTCCAAGCACTGTTAGATGCCAGGTACTGTTTGGGGTACAGGGATCCTGAAACAAGCCCACAGCACTGCCCTCCAGGAGCTGATCCCCTGTTTCACTAACATGATTGAGGCTTTGGTGTGTTCACGCCAAGTGACCCTAGTTAGCACCCAGAGTAATGATTACCTTTTCCTTTTAAAATACGTTTTACGTTTTAAAAACTTAGTCAACTTACAGAGGACTATTAGGAAGATAATGGCACAGTCTCTAAATAGCTTAAGCATCATGATGGAGGTGGGGATGTCAGAGTGGGGACACGTTCATAGAGTCCCCTGAGCTCTTTCCAGCTGTGGCGCTGTTGTGTGGGGCTCCCCTCACCCTCTTGACATGGTCTCCCATAAAGAGAGAGGAAGGCATGGCCACGAGGAAAGGACTCTGGAGAGCCCACCCCAGGACCAAAGTCACAGACCACATGGGTGGCCAGGCCCTTTGCTAGGATGGTTAGCAAAGCCCGCCATGACCAGCACCCAGGCCAACAGGGTACCCCCCTTGGCACATGTGCCTGCCTTCACCCTGCACCCTTCAGAGCCTCATACTTGACCACTGGCCAAGGGGTGAGACAGGCACTCGGAGGTTGGGGAGCCTCCCCAAGGCACTATGAGCCCCAGTGTGGAGCCAGGCATGGACAGCACCCTCCCACCTTTGTCCTCTGGGCCTTCCCTCTCCCGCAGCACCCAGGCAGCAGAAGCCCCAGACGGCTGGGATTCCAACCTGATGATGGTGTCTTTGGGATGGACCCTGGGCTTCCTGCCCTCCCTCCTCCGGGCCCACTCCTGGGAAGTCTCACTGTCCCAGCCCCTCTGCACCATGAGAGCTGAGATGCCACGTGTCCTTGGCCCCTGCAGGCTCCAAAAAGGCAGACCTAGGTCATTGCTACTACTCCCTGCCCACCTTGAGAGCCACCTCTCCAGGGACCTCACTTGTGTCAACTAGAGTACTGCCCCTGCCTGTGGGGAAACTGAGGCAGGCTCCTCTTACATAGGCCTTGCTGCAGGTCAGTCAGGCTGGCAGGAAGCCAGGGACAGTGGGGGGTGACCTGTTCCTGGTGGCGACATCTGAGAAGGGCCTGCCAAGCATGTGGCACGTGTGGCCCCTAGGATGGCTCGGGGATGTGTCTGTGGGGTGACAGTGCCCATCTCAGAAGAAAGTCCCTGAGGCACCAGAACAGAGCCCGACACCAGACACAGGGGCCCTTCCCATAGAACACTGAATCAGAGACAGCACTGAGGATGAAGGTCCACACCTTGTCGAGTATGCGTGGGTGCGTGTATGAAGTGCGACCAGAAAATGCAATGAACATCAAATATTTTTAAATTTGTTAACAGTAAAAAAAATACATTGCCATGAATCACCCTCAGTGTCCTCCCCTCCTCACTGCAGACACTGTCGTATTTCTTGCCCCTTTCCCTCGAGGCCCCGGAAGCCTCTTTCCTCAGTGTCTTTAGACAGCAGTGGCTGCCTTGCTATCCTGAATGGCTTCAAAACGTTTACTTTTTATGGTCATTTGGACTTTGGGGAGAGTCCAAAATTCACGTGGTGCCGGTTCTGGAGA